CTCTGTGAGTTCGAGGCCGGGCTGGACTGACAGCCTCCAAAACAATACAGAGAAACCCTGTCTCCTAAAACCAAAAAAACAAAAAACAAAAAAAAACCTGTTTAGTATTTTTAAAGACTTTTTGCTTCATTTTGGTTTTTCTTTCCTTTCTTTCTTTCTTTTTTTTTTTTTTTTTTTGGTCTTATTGGTCTTTAGCTTTTTTGATTTTTGTTTTTGTAGGGGTGTTCTGTGTGTGTGTGTGTGTGTGTGTGTTTCTTGGGAATTTTTTTTGCTTTTTATTTGTTTTCTCTTCTGGGAGAAAGAGAAAGAGAGAGAAAGCATAAAGTTGGATATATAGGGAGTGGGAAGATCTGGGAGAGTTGAGAGAGGGAAAACATAATCAAAATATATTTTATGAAAAGATTTTTTAATATAAAAAGGATTTTAAAAAGAAAGAAAATGCTCTACAGGCAATCTGATGGAGGCATTTTCTCAACTTAAAGCCATCTTTCTGCCAGCCTACAATCCCATGGCCAGAGAGTCTGGAAAACAGAAACTTCATTCAGTGGCTGATGGAAGAAGAGGCAGACTCCCATGGTTAAGTACTGAGCTGATCTCAAGAAAGCCAGTAACAGAGAGGGAGAACTGATGACCAAAGGGATTAAGACTGGGCTGGCTTAACCCCCAGAAACAGCTGACCTGACAAAGGTTAACTCTTGAATCCCAGGCATCAGCCTGGGAATCCATCATGGGACTGATCAAGACCCCCTGAATGTGGGTGTCAGTGAGGAGGCCTAGGTAATCTATTGAGCCTTGGGCAGCAGATCAGTACTCATCACGAGTATACACATGGACTTTGGACTCCCATCCAACAATGTGAGGTGCACTCACCCTGAACTCTTGAGGGAGGGTCTAGGCCCTGCCCTGTATGAAATGACAGACTATGGACACCCCCATGGAGGGCCTCACCCTCCCTGGGGAAATGAGGGGATAATGGGGAGGTAGGGGGAAGGGCACGGGAGGAGGGCAGGGAAAGGGAGAGGGACCTGGAACTGACTTGTGAAGCAACCTTGTTTCTAATCTAAATTTAAACTGAAAAAATTTTTTAAAAAGCCATCTTTCCAGATAACTTGTGTCAAATTGGAAAACAAAACAAAAAAACCCACAAAAACAGGACAGGAGCCTTCTGGCATCAGCAGAGCAGAAGCTGAGAGCACAGATCTGGTCAAAAACCAGGCTCCACCCTTGGTTCTACTACTCAGCTGTGCGAGCATTGCGGTGAGCGCCGTTTTCCTCATCTGCAGCACCCACTGCAGACACTGGATCAGAAAGACCCTGAAGCACTTAGAACAGCAGACACTGGCCCTCATCTGCAGCACACACTGCACTCACGGCAGACACTGGATCACAATGACTAATGCACACGGAACAGCAGACACGGGCCCCTCTCAGTGATTCTCGGTTAAGCGCTTCAGTACGGCCTTTGAGTAAGGTGACAGCAATGAATGGACTGTTAGAGCAAGGCAGAGAAGCCCTTGTGACCCCGTGGTGTTTTCAACAAGAATGATGGCTCCCCAGGGTCATGTCTGACGCTTTGTCATCAGGGATGGCTCTGCTTGGGAGGGGTTAGGAGGAAGTGTGTCACTGGGTTGACTCTCAGTGTCTGTCTTCCTGCTGCCCTTGGATCCAGATACGGAACTCTCAACTACTTTTCTACTGTCTGCCTGTGTGCTGCCATGCTCCCCACCATGATACAACGGGCTGGACTCTGAAACTGTAAACGCTCTCCTTTATAAGAGTTGCGGTGGCCATGGTGTCTCTTCACAGCAATAGAACACTAAGACAGACCCCAAACTAATGCTGGACTCTCACTGCTCAGGGTTACGTGAAAAGGAAGTAACTGGGCAGTCAAGCCCGGCACTTCTGTCTTTTCCACCGTGACTGTTAGGGAAATTAGATAAGGACAGCCCACTCTGACTTCTTAGCTGATGGAGGGGTTTTGGAGTTAGGGTAATAGCAGAGGTCACTAACCCGTAGGAGCTTGGGAAACCTACTCACTGGCCCTCTCTCCTCCTGGGAACTAGTGCCCCATGACCCCACAAGCCAAGTGATAGCCAGACCCCTAAGCTGGAGAGCATGTGTATCCCAAGAGGCCTGAACAAGGTCCCTTTCTTCCTGTGACTAACGTAAACCACTCAGCAGCCAGTTACAGTGGCCACAACCCCTTTAGCCTGGAGCAGATTCTGGGGCAGGGAGGCCAATCCAGCATGCGGCCGCAGTGCCAAAGTGCAAGAAGCTGTGGGGAGACACGGAGAGTGAGGAAGCGCGGGGAGACACACGGAGACGGGGGGGGGAAGGGAGGAGGCGTGGGGGGACACACGGAGACGCGGGGGGAGGCGTGGGGAGACACACGGAGACGGGGGGAGGGGAGACACACGGAGACGGGGGAGGAGGCGTGGGGAGACACACGGAGACGGGGGGGAGGGGAGACACACGGAGACGGGGGGAGGCGTGGGGAGACACACGGAGACGGGGGGAGGCGTGGGGAGACACACGGAGACGGGGGGGAGGCGTGGGGAGACACACGGAGACGGGGGAGGCGTGGGGAACATAGGAAGGAGCTGGCTTTTGCACACTGCCCCCCCACTGACTGTGTAAAGTAGAATTATCTCACCCATTTTGCAGGTGAAAAAAATAAGCACAGCTGGAGTGAACTGCTGTAGAAACAGAGCTGGGGCTTGAACTCAGGCAGTTCCGGTTGCATTGACTACAACACACCAGGTGTCTTCTGAGGGTCTCTGTGGCAGTTCTCGATCTCCCTACAGCTGCTTCTCTCCAATAGAAGTGCTAGACCGTGAAGGTTATCGTACACAGCATGTTTGGTGAGCGAGTGGGCACGTAGCATCCTGCAAGCCTGTGCCCGTGGAACCCTACAATTAAACCTAACCAAATGTAAACAGGGAATATTGTGTCCCAGCTGGAACCTGGAGAATAGCCTTTGGCCATGACTAAGGTAAGTGAGCACAGCATTACTGCGCCTCTTGGGCTCTTGTCTCCTGAGGGAAAGTGACAACCACAGTCCTACACAGCCGTGTTTTGTTTTTTTCTTTTAAAATTTTTTTTATTTTATGTGTGGGTACTCACCTGCATGTGTGCCTGGTGCCTGTGGAGGCCAGAGGTGGGCTTCAGATCCCCTGGAACTGGAGTTACAGGTGGCTGTGAGCCGCCATGTGGGTTCCAGGAAGAGCAGACAGTGCCCCTAACTGCTGAGCCATCTCCCCAGCCCCACAGCCCTGCTCTTTATGGCTTCTCCCACTGCCCAAGCTGTCAGGGCCCTATGCTGTGGCCTACTGGAAAGATGACAAATGGGGACCCAAAGCATTGTCAGGCTTGGGAATCATTTTGGAAGTGCAGGGATAGTGGAGCTGGGAGCTGTGGGGGTTGGAGCTGGAAGGATCTGAAGGTGGTAAAGCTGTGAGAGTCTGGGCAAGAGCTCAAATGCAGGGGAACATTCTAGAACTGGGTGGGAACAAGCTAGCTGGAAGCGAAGCCCGGCAGCGAGCACTGAGCCACGGCAAAGGTGAGGCACTGTAGCAGCTGATGCTCAGCCCTGCTGCAGGGTGGGACCACCCGGAGAGTTCCAGCACCTGTGCTTTCTGGGGGTGGGGCATCTGTTTATTTCATGTGGAGCAGCTGTGGGCACTGGGAAGATGGAAGTCTCCTCAGGGTGGAGAGCAGCTCCTGGCGCAGAGCTCCTGCTGTTCTCTTCAGCGGGGTCCAGCTCTGCAAGGGGCTCCACAGTTCAGCGTCTCCTGGGCCCACCAGCTATAGAGTGCTGGTTTTGTACCGCGTTAGGACAGCACATGGGACCAGGGGAGTGAGTGTGGATCCTAAAGGATAAAGCCCACAGTGATCATCCCATCCTTGTTTTCCCACCTTAAGAGACAGGCATGTGGACTGGTCTGACCAGGGCTGTGTGGGCTGCTTCTGGGATCCTCCCCACTGTTTAATGAGAGATGGAGAGGGTGAGAGAGAGACTGGAATACCACCCATCCTGCATGTGGCAGGGATCCTGGCTAATGTGACTCCTACTAGAGTTTCAAGAGCCATCTTGCATCGATGAAGCTGAAAAGGGAGAAACTGGCCAGCTCCCTGGTGCAGCTGCTGAATTAGCCTAGGAGCTCCCGACCTCCGTGTTTATCATGGCTCTCTCCAATGCTACGAGCCAGGACATCTGACTTACCAATTAATAGGCTCCTTAACCCTGGGTATGGAATGACGATGCCCTCTGAACACCGAGGCATCAGAGCTGGCTGTGTCCTGATAGAACAGCTTCCCCAGTATGAGAACTACACAGGGCAGACTGATCACACCCCTGGGAAGAAGGCAGAGGGAATTCACACACCGGAGGGGTTGGAAAAGCAGCAGAAGGCAGCCGAGTCTGGCAGCTGGTTGAGTCCCAGGCCTGCAGACTGCAGGTCCAGCATGGCTGAGGCTCACCTCTTTAAATGTCCACACCGGATGCTTCATGGGGTGCTTTCCTTGTCATCCAGTCAGGCATCCTGCCTGGCTTCCCACATTCCCTTTTTTAACACTCCCCTATTAGTTCTGTTCCTCCTCTACATATCCGTCTTCCCCTTCTCCAAGACCAACCTTTAACATCCAGATTCTAAAATCAGTATTTTGAGACACTGAGTAGTGCTTAGATATTGGTCTCTTATAGCCCAGGGGTGTCTTAAAAATAGCCCCCTTTCCTTTTCCTGTTGACCCCGAGAGAGGCCCCAGGGGGCTATGCCATGGCTCAGCTGTAAGGACTGTGTGAAGGACTGCACTGGGAGGACTGTACATTGGAGCCGCACAGCCCTTCTGAGCATCCTTGGCAGGCACCCCTCTTCCCCCCTCAGCACGTGCACGCACACACACACACACACACACACACACACACACACACACCTTATTATACCCTCTTCATGAATCTTCTCCACAAAACCTGGACTCAGGCTAAAAAAGCAGCACAGAAGTAAACAGCTTATATAGATTTTATTTGTCACCCAAAGAGGTGAGCACACACTGTGGGCAGGCAGAGGGCTAAGAGACACATTGTCACAGTTACCTGCCCTTGTCACAGACAAACCAGAAGGGGGGGGGGTCTTGTTTCTAGCACACATTGCTATGGGATAATCACAATGACACATTTTATTCCCAGTTCTTTTTACGCCATGGAGTGTGGAGGGGGGTACACTTACTACACTAAAAATATAGACTTTAGAATCTTTAAAACAAAAATATCTGTCTCTACATGAGACCTACTCGAGAGAAGAATGTAGCAAATGAGGGAATGTACCAGCACCTCAAGTTGCCCCCTTCCGTGGGAAGGTTGCCCTGCTCTCCAGCGGATACCATCAGCCACTTCTAACCAGTGACAGAAACGAGACGAGAGAACGGCTTAGCATCTCACAGAGGCGGAGAGGGACAGGAAGGATTTTGGCTTCTCTCACAAAAGGAGTAATTGCACATTCAGGTTGGTGCTTCTGGTGCCGACACTATTCCACAAGTAAAAGCCTGCTGGAGAAGTCGCCCTGAAGCCTGATAAGCAATGCCCAAGCCAGTGGATGGCTCCTGGGCTTCAAAAGGGAGAGAGCTGTGTACTCACCAGTGCTGCAAGTGGGTTAGGGGAAGGCGCCATTCCTCTTCTCTTCAGGACCCAAAGCCATTCTGTCCCTATTGCACACACAATCTCTTCAAAGCTTTATGCCATGGATGACTCATTCCTGAAGGCTACTAAAGAGACTTCTTTCCTCTCGCACACTCCCAACAGCGATAGTCACTTCTTACCTCCGCTGCTTATGAAAATTATCCTCCTTTCTGGCCACAAAAAGGGTAACTGAAGAAAAAACTGTAACTAGACAGCCATCCGCTCCCTATAACTAATGTTCAGAGAGATCAAGGGCAAGCCAGGGATGGTGGCACATGCTTGGAACCCCAGCACTTGGGAGGCAAGAAAACAGCTGCCAGCTCAAGACGAGCTTGGTCTACAGAGTGAGACCCTGTCTCCCAGAGCAAGAGTGTTGGAGGGGGGCACCAAGATCACTTAAAAATAGTCATAGCAGAAAATCTGCTTCAATTTGAATTTTGAATGTGATTTTTGTTTTGTTTTGTTTTTCAAGACAGGGTTTCTCTGTGTGTGTGTAGCTTTGGAGCCTATCCTGGCACTTGCTCTGTAGACCAGGCTGGCATCGAACTCACAGAGATATGCCTGCCTCTGCCTCCCAAGTGCTGGGATTAAAGGCGTGTGCACCACCAATGCCTGGCAAATGTGTTTTTCTGCTTACAGTGAATGTAGATCAATACAAACGAACATGGGAGCTTAAGATTACTTAGTCTCTCCTCAACATGTCCTGTTGGAACATGACCCTTTGCCAAGAGGCGTCAGCAGCAGTTCAACTCGAGGCTCTCACCTCAACTGGTGGCGCCATCACATCGGGAGGGAACTTGAGCAATGGCGGGAAGAACTGAAGGACAGAAGGAAGAGGTTCTGGCAAAGCTGAGGCACAACAGGCAGGAGCCTGGGTGAGTGCTCACCTGCCAGCCAGGGCTGCCTAAAGGGTTTCCACCCAAAGAAAGTCAAGATGGCGGAGGCCATCCAGTGTAGGGTCTGTGAATGTCCAACGAGAATGGGGCTTGGAAATCGAAGAGTATGAGAGAGGTGAGGGACAAACTGGCCCTACCCCACAGTTTAAGTCCCCTGGAGGCTGAGGAAATGGGTTAGCAGTTAGGAGAACCCACATGGAAGTTCACAACTATCTGTAACCTGATTCCAGATCTGATGTCCTCCTCTGCTCTCTTCAGGCACATGGTACAAAGACATACATGTAGGCAAACACCCATACAGACACAGTTAAATTAAAAGTACTAAACCGGATGGTGGTTTTTTAATTCCAGCACTCAGGAGGCAAAGGCTAGCAGATCTCTGTGAGTTCGAGACCAGCCTGTTCTACAAGAACTAGTTCCAGAACAGGCTCCAAAGCTACAACCCTGTCTTGGAAAAAAATAAAAATTAAATTACAAGTCCTAGGAGGAGGTGCTGTCACTCTTGCAGAAGACTTTCAGAGACACTGGTGAAGTCGCAGGCAGACACATGTGAAATGGTGTCTCTGATGCTCATTAAAAACTAAAGAAAACCCAGGGGCCTGAGACCCTAGCCAGTCCTGAGCTTCAGGGTAGGAACCCTGGATCGCTAGACAGGACACAGTCCCTGCTTCCCTGGCTAAGATGGCGTCTAGAGAGCTGAGCAGCTGAGCGGGCAGAGGATAAAGTAGAATCAGGAGCTGTCCCTTCAGGATGATCACAAGCCAGACTGTCCTGAGGGGAGATGGGGAGATGGCAGCCACCACTGCCCCAGCCTTTGGGCAGGGCGGGGACTTAGTCAATGCCAGATTTTTATCCAGCACTTATAAGCAATTTAAAAGTCTGTTCTGTCACCAACAAAGAGAAATTATGATTATTCACACTGTCTTATGGGAAGACATGGCTCACGTTCCCTCTTCCATGAAGGCAAGTTTTCATGAATTAAGGAGCCCTGGGATGAGGCTGTATGTAGTTAAGTCCGGAGCCTTCTTACCCTTCCCAAGTTGCATGTGTGCTACATAACCAAACATTTGGCAACTGCACAGTATATCTCTTTAGGTCTTCACCTTCTCCCTAGAGCAACCCTTCCTGATATTCATCAGGAAGCAACCCGGCCACTTATGAACCCTACGTCCTTTCCCTTAGAGCCAAGGCTTCACTACCAACACGTTCTTGAATCTTGCCCCCCCATCTATGTTGTTCACATCACCAGGATGTCAGGACAGTGACTGGCACCACTCAGGATGTATCTACAAGCTACCCTTAAAGGAGAGGTGACCACTTCTCTGGTCCCAGGAAATGTCGGCATGAGAAAAAAACCCAGAGGTCCCATAGCTGCCTTGCTCAGAGCTAGCAAAGGCAGCCCCCACCCTCCAGCAGCTGCACACATACAGAGAGACTAAAGCATCATGGCTTGGGAAGAGGCCTTTTCCTCAGTGACACTGTCACTGGCTTCCCTGCATGATGGGCTCCTCACTGTCACATGCCTCTCAGGTGTACTGAGGCCGGAGCAGTGGGTGAAGTCGTCACCAATTTCCCTACACAAAGGGTTGCATGAAAACTCAGGAGGAAAAAGATGGGGCAAGGAAAAGGGTGTTCCCAGGTTAGGAAAGCAATGAAAAAGACACAAGTTGAAAGAGGTAGCTGGAGGGGTCTGGAAAGCTATTAAGAAAGTTTTCCCACCAACAGGCTGCTTCTGAAACAGACACAGTGATTAGATCTGTCCCGAAGTGATGATACATACACTCTGGGAATTTGGCTCTCAGAGACTTTAATGCCCACTGATTTCTGTGAACCTGTTCCAGTATGTGGTACCCAGAGCAAGACAGGGCTGTTGCTGAGACAGAACAAAGCTCTCTCAAAAGTGTATAGAGATCAGACAAACCAGGAGCCACAACCCTATCTCCGAGGATACCACTGTAGGATGAGAGCAGAGTGGTAGTCATCTACCAGGCACTGAAGAGCAATGCCTACCACTGATGCACAAAGCGTATCTGCTCTGCGTGGCTTACGTCATCATGTACCAAGTGTTACATGTCTTGAAAATCATTCCTGTATCAAAGTGACTGGTCCCCACCGGAAGGGAAGTGGTGGTGACACACACAGGGGTCCCCTCAAAGTGACTGGTCCCCACTGGAAGGGAAGTGGTGGTGACACAGGGTTCCCCTCAACACCAAAGGTCTTCAGTCAACGACCAGATGCCTTAGTGTATGTTCAGAGTCTCAGGGTACAAACTGCAATAAAATGGCTCAGTGCTTCTTCACCCAGGGAAAGCACACACACTGTGTGTATGGGGGGGGTCTTGTGTAGAAAGATACAGGTGGAAAACCAGATGATCAGTTTGCTGGTCACACGGTGCACAGAGGAAGGGGAGGTTTGTAAGCGCTGGGGCCCAAACCCTTGATGGTAGTTTTAGAACACAGAAGAGAAAATCGTACACATACTTTTACACTAAGTGTTGTCCACACTGACTTCACCATTTACAGCTCATTTCTTAGCATGGCTTTTTACATCTGAGAGCCAGAACTTCTGTCAACTAAAATACATCTGTGTGACGAGGAAGCCAAATAGCTGAAGGCAGTTTTGGTCCATTGAGTGATGATGGTGGTGTTCGCTACCAAGGCAGCTAAGGAGATGTCCATGAGCACTTGCGTCTCAGGATGAAGTAACAACACAGCCTCCCTCAAGAGGCAGCAGCAGCATGTCAAACAGTCCCACCAACAGTCAACATTGATCTGCCTTCCTAGCTACAAACTTTCCCAGACAGCGACAAAACAGACCTGGTAACAAATCCCCAAGCTAGGGAGTCTTCCCTGGTCATTAAACCAACTCCTCCCATAGCAGGCTCCTCTTTCTCCAGTCTCAAGGAAACCCAAGGAAAGATGTTCATCCTCCTGCTGTCGCCTTTAATTAGCTAAACTCCCTGTCTCACACTTGGCCCTGAATCTTCCAAGTGTCTCCAAACACTGTGTTGACTGCTTCTGGGAGTGATACGGATGACCCCAGGCAGTGGCATCTTGCCAGCTCTGGTGCGGCCACTGTTGATGCTGCCCTTGGGTAGTAGACCTGTTACAGTGTCTGATCTAACCCGCACCCCTTCCCAAATAGAGATGGAACCCAGACCCAGGCTACTCATGAGCCTGCGGCTAGCAACGGACCCAGGAGCTTCCCTTCTCCAGCTTCTCTGATACCACCCCGAGCCATCGTCCATGAAGAGGAGCCTCATGAAGGAACCCTCAATGACAGAATGTATTCATGTGGCTTACCAGGCCAGCAGAGAGTATTGGAGAAAGTGTCTGGAAAATGGAAAGCTGGCTCTTTAATGGTGGCAGTTGTGAAGAGAAAGAAGAGGAGAGGAAGCAACAGGAGGTCATCCTGACGGTGGCCCTGCTGGTGGTGCCTGGCTGCTGGCATGAAGGTAGCGGGATGTCCTCCAAAACGCACACCGAGAGTGACTGAATGCTTCCGTGTGGCATGGCTTTGATATGACCGAGGACGGAGCCTGGCTTCTTCTCTGAGAGACTCACCATTTTCTTGAAAGCCAGAGCTTGTCTGAGGCTCCTCATGGCCCAAACCTTCAGCAGACCCTCAGTTGAAGAGGCTGGATAACAACGACACAGTGAGGCACAGTGAGGCACTGGCGTCTGCTCGCAACACAATACTTTGAAGACGGCACCACAACTTGGAGCTGGCTGTATTTTAAGTTCATTTACAAGTAGACTAGCTCTCAACTAAAAATAACCAAATGTGTTATACATTTCCACAGCTGCCTGGATTTTCCTCTGAGAGAAGCAAGGAGTCTGTGTTTTACTTGCATTCGACACAGATCTATTTTAACCCATTTAGGGGAGGAATTGTGGTACCACGCACCGGCAGCTGTGGCTCTGAGAAGCACTTCAGTTGTTCCTTGGGGCCAACTCACTAGTACCCTCATTTTACCACTGAGTCAAATGCCAGAAGAGGTAAAATGCCAAGTTATGCTCCCAGTTCCTGGCTTGTTTGTTTTAAAAAGCAAACCTGTTAGCTGTATCAAGACCTCGAATTTTTGCCAGTATCTATCTGTGGACTTAAATGTAAGGGGTGTTTGGGCTAAAATCGTAACTTATATACACAGCATTCCTTAATGCAAGTGAAGATACCTCCAATCCTTTATTTTTCTTTAACAATCTGATTAAACTGATCTATGCTATTACTAAGTGAGATACAGAAATTTCTTTGCAGAATAAGAAAACTGTCATGTTTATCAAAATCCTCATTTTAGAAACTAAGTTAAGCGGGTTAAAGTCTGAGCCAATACTATCATATTATTTATTAGTGTTAACAGTATTGATCCAGGCTCTTAGCAATTTTCCAGTTTGTGTGGTTGTAGTAACCAGAGATACGCTTTAGATTCTGAAATGAGAAACTTTCTCCACGTGGATTAAAGAAACTAAACAGATACAGCACATTTACATTCAAAAATAACTACAGCCTGCCCTTGGGACTGATAGCAGCCCATCTTTCCAAATATTTGGAACCTCTTTATATTTATTTGTCTTACCCTACAGCTAGCAATAGTTTTTTTTTAATTTCTAGGAAAAGTAAATCCTTCAAGTAATATATATCTTACCTTTAACATTATTGCTATTTCAAAAACCAGATGTGAATAAATAAACGAGAAGTTCGAATTCTCTTTACCTTTTTTCCTTCGTGTTTCCAGAATTTATACTGAGAGCCTTCCAGACTGTGGTTTTAGGCATTTCATCTGATATATTAATCTCAGAGGGGTCACATCTGAAAGCAAAGCTTAGGCAGTGAATATCAAACATGTTGGTGAAGGACACACCCCAGTTTACCCTGACCACTACCCCACGAGAAGGGAGAGTGGCTTGAGGATGGAGTCTGCAGTCCGTCTGCAGCCAGGAGAGGCCTTAGGGTCGAGGTGGCTATGAGCAGGGCTAAAGGCTGCTGATGTCCCAGCTGGTGGCTGGTGCTCCAAAAGAGCTACAGGATGCTGACACTGAAGCCAGGAGCCACTGCTCACCGACTGCAGCTGAGTGGCAGGCGCTCTTGTTTACAAAACAGAATCTCTTTCATTTATACTTTAGAAAAGACTTTCATACTCTATTAGCTTACCTGTCAGAGCAACAGAGATTAATCATAGTCCTAATTTTGAAGGTATAAAACCCAAAGCTTTCAGGGCTAAGTCCCCATCACAAGTTAAACAACAGCAGAGACTCAAGACCCTAAACACAGTCTCTGGTCCTCAGAAACCCCAGGCTACTCTAAAGCCATCTCCTGAAATGCAAAGAGAAGTGCCAGCATGCCACAGGAAAAGGAGCCTTGATCCTGCTTCCCTGCCAGAGACATCAAAGTTGACAGTCTCTTCCCTAACAGCACACAGACACCTCCTTAGGGACCAAAGACAAGATTTCCTGATTCATCTGCAGTATAAACCTCAGCCAGTCTATCATGCCTCAGCTAATTCCCTGGATCTAAATGAGGTGGACATCAGGCTTTCTTCCTTCTTTAGCTGTCCTCGCCTCCAGGCTTCTTCAGCCTGCATTTGCTGCTTCCAAACAGGCACAGATGTCAGGAGCAAACCCACACACGGCATTCTGTGCCCTGTGTTTTGTGGCGAGCAATGGGTTTGGTAGAGGAAGGGGCTGAGACACCGAATAAGGCTTATCTGGGCTTCAATATCAGTGTCTGCTTGACCACTTGGAATAAAAAGTGCTATAACCCACAATGGAGAAGACTGTCTCTGCCTGTCCCCAAAGACACACTCAAGTGTAGACACTACATACCCACCAGGCTGAGGACACCCTGGAAATGAGGACACACCCTATTGGCCTTAGGAAAATGGGAGAGAAGACCATGGGGTTGGGAAGCAGAGGGGTTCCGTCTAGATGCTGACCTTGTATTAGCAGCACTGCAATCCTGGCATTTCCCTAACGTGTACAGAGTAGCTAATGAACCTTAGAGGACTGTTATAAAGGCTGAGGGGACACAAGCAAAGCCCCCTGTACACCCTGACATGGGAGAAGGCACTGGGGACAGTGGCTCCCCGCCTCTCTTCTTGTGACTCTCAGTCCTACAAAGTAGGGCACACAGCAGGTATTCAGAACACAGTGGGATTGGAAAGCTGCTTCCTCAAGGTGGGCCGACTGCACGGCTGCCCAGAGCATCTGCAGCACTGTGGAGGGAATCCTGCAGCAAGCTCTGTGGTATTTGGGGACTTACCTGAAGCTGCTATTTTTGCCAGGACTACTTAGCAACTTTCTGCTCTCCAGGGGGAACTTATCACCCCCTATGTCCAACATCTTCTCAGCCTCCTGGAAGAAAAGAGGGCCTTATTATTGTCAGGTCCAAAGGAAACTCCTACTCCCCAAACTCCAAAAGGCAGTGCACATGGTCAGAAATGAGTCTAGGCTCAACTCGAGCTGGACTGCTAAAAGCCTACAGCCAGCATTTCAGGAACCCCACCCACTGCCCCAACACACGCCACTCTCTTCTCTGGCAGGTAGCCCTGGCCATATCCAGGGTGCTTCTTTTTCTCTCTGCTCTGCACTCTTCAAAATGCCCCTGAATGTTGTCTCTAATTTTACCTACACGAAAACCTCACATTCGTGCAATTAGGTCCTTCCATGGGTTTGACTTCTCACAAGAGTGAGGCATCAAATCATAGTACATATGGAGCAGTATTGAAAAACAATGGCCTGAATAGAACCCTCTACAGCAGTGGTTCTCAACCTGTCGGTTGTGACCCCTTTGGGGGTTGCATAACAGATATCCTGCATATCAGATATTTACATTATGTTCATAACAGTAGCAAAATTATAGTTATGAATTGGCAACAAAAATAATTTTATGGTTGGGGTCAACACAACATGAGGAACTGTATTAAAAGGTCGCAGCATTAGGAAAATTGAGAACCACTGTTCTAGAGACAGTGACCAACTACTAAGACCACAGGGGACAGGGACGGAAGAACATGTCCATTTTGCCAAAGATAACAATTAGCAAGAACTGCCTGATGAGAGAGACAACGCCCTACTGTCCAAGATCCAACTTCCTAGCAGAAAGAAAAGAAGAGAATCCTAAAGGGATTCAAAGTGGAAATCAGCCAATTAAAACATATGCTCTTTTGTCATATCCTGATCCAAAAAAACAAGTTGTTACAATAGTGACAGGAAACCTGGGAAGATGGCTGAGGTGGAAAGTGTTGTAGCACAAGCTTGAAGACCTGAGTTCGGATTACCAGGCCGCACATACAAAGCAAAGCATGGCAGCAATCCCTAACCCTGGCACTAGGGAGGCAGAGACAGGGGGACTGCAGGCTGCTGGTCAGCTGACTAGCTCAATCATGAGCTCTGGGTTCAGCCAGAGACCATAGTTCTACAAATAGGGCAGGAAGCAATTAGGTGAGACACCTGTGCTTAACACACACACACACACACACACACACACACACACACACACACACACACAGTTCTACAAATAGGGCAGGAAGCAATTAAGTGAGACACCTGTGTTTCACACACACACACAATAATATGAAAACTGGGGAAGGAGTTTTCTTATTTTTACAATATACTTAAAATGTTTCATATTAAAATATTTATTTAAAAATTATGCCAACACAAAAAGATTAGGAGTTTAAGGCTAGCCTGGGTTATATAGTGAGGTTCTATCTTACTAATAAAATAAAAAAAATAAATGACTCCTTAAAAGATAATGCCACTCACTTAAAGAGGGAAAAATTAATCTACAAACATGCTTAAAGTGTAACAACAATAAAACTTAAAAGAACTAAACATTTTAACAAAAGAAGTTTAAATTTTAATAATTCAATGAATAACACTTTATTGAATAATATTCAATTATACTTTAATTTTCTTTTTTGTGCTAATAATTGTATTTATTCAAAACATCTATTCATTCATTTATCTATTTATGTATTTGTGTGTGGGAGGGTCTGAGTGTGACACTGCGCATGTGGAAGCCTGAGGACAACTTTGGGGACTCAGTTCTTCCCTGCATCATGTAGGTCCCCAGGACTGAACTCAGGTCTATTAGACTTGGCAACAGGTGCCTTTCCCTGCAGAGTCACTTGTAGCCTGATTATTTTATAGAAGCCTACGTAAAACATTTTTGTCTATATTGCTGGAATATCCTCAGGATATGTTTTAAAAATTAGAGTTCCCAGGTCAAATGGCATAAACATTTTTCTTTCTGATACAGGGTCCAAGCTGTCCCCCTGCCTCAGCCTCCCAAGTGCTGGGAATATAAGTATGTGCCAGCCACAGCACCTAGCTTAAGAGGATACATATATGCATTTGTGTATGTGCTCATGTGTGTACTTACACATGCTCACCATGTGTGTATGCTGTGTGGGGGGTGTGCTTTGCCTGTATGTACATATTTACATCATGTGGTTGCCTGGTGCACAAAGAGGCCAGAATCGGGTGTTGGGTCCCTGGAACTGGAGTGACAGACACGTGAGCGGCCATGTGGAAGCTGGGAACCACACTTGGACCCTCTGGAAAAGTAGCCAGTGCTACACACCATGAGCATCTCTCCAGCCCTGGCACATGTAAATTAAGACTCGACTTTAAGCTGTTCTCTAGAGAGATATCTCCAGTTCACACCGGCACACTCAGTGTGCGGCCCATTCCAACCACGGTGTTAAAGGGGTTAGTTCTTACCGACTTAAGCTTTGTTGACACTTGACAAGTGAAAAAAATATTCTCAGCCAGGGATGGTGGCACAACAGCTAGGAGGAACACAGGTTTTTTTCCCATTGCTTTTGTATTTAATAATTTAGTTTATTTAACAACATAAGATTTTTTAAATTCAAACATTAGACATTAGAAAATTTTATTTTAAAATATAGTTGAAAAAGATGGCAGTGTCTACTGAGTGACAGGGTCTCTCCAGGCCAGCTAGCAGCAGGAAAATACTTATGCATGTATGTATGTATTTATGTATATATGTATGTATATGTGGATAGATAGATAGATAGATAGATAGATAGACAGACAGATAGACAGACAGACAGATAGAGAGCAGTTGGAAGGACACTCTTTGGGGCCTTTCATTTCTTGGCCTGATATTTTCCTCTGGCCACACATCCTTTCTGTGCATATTCAGGCCATGACTCACAGGCCATTGTGCAGATGGCAAGGTGCCAACTGCTGAGGGCGATGAAGGACAGAAAGCGCCTCACAAGCTGCGTTTGCACGGTGCCAACTACAGCACCATCTGTAATTAGGTGTACAGCCAATACTCTCAGAAATAATGGGTTTTATACGCTTGTCAAACCAGATCTTCTGGAAGAAAAGGAGCCTCTGGATCTGAGACTCACAGAGTGCATGTTCATATTCTGTTGTGATCTGAGACTCACAGAGTGCGTGTCCATATTCTGGTGTGATCTGAGACTTACAGAGTGCATGTTCATATTCTGTTGTGATCTGAGACTCACAGAGTCCAAGTCCATATTCTAGTGTGATCTGAGACTCACAGAGTGCGTGTCCATATTCTGGTGTGATCTGAGACTCACAGAGTGCGTGTCCATATTCTGGTGTGATCTGAGACTCACAGAGTGTGTGTCCATATTCTGGTGTGATCTGAGACTCACAGAGTGTGTGTCCATATTCTGGTGTGATCTGAGACTCACAGAGTGTGTGTCCATATTCTGTTGTGATCTGAGACTCACAGAGTGTGTGTCCATATTCTGTTGTGATCTGAGACTCACAGAGTGCGTGTCCATATTCTAGTGTGATCTGAGACTCACAGAGTGCGTGTCCATATTCTGGTGTGATCTGAGACTCACAGAGTGTGTGTCCATATTCTGGTGTGATCCTGGGGTCAAATCAAAGGGGGTAACAACCAATAACCAATTCCAAACATGAAGGGCAGACAGGGCCAGAACCCCTTAACCCTTCTGCAGCTTGGGGTAACATTCAGCCCCTCAGCGACCCTCAGGATCCCAGACGTGCTGCCTTTGCACACAGCCCTCCCTCCCTCCTTCCCTTCTGGAAGCCAAGGCCCTGAAAAATAAGTCTGGAGCACAAGAAGGCTCTACCTCCTCCTCCTTAGCCTTCTTCTTGGCATCATCCAGCTTCTTCTTTTTGCTTTCAGGCATGAGGTCATCCAGCCAACTCAGCTCACGCTTAGAGAAGCAGAGATCCATGACTTTCCTGACGAAGACCAAGGCCAGGACCTGACGAGAAGGAAGGGCGGTAAAGGGGATTTGCCGCGAGCTGTAAAGCAAACGACTTTCAGAACTGGACTCCTGAGGATCACAGCAGTAGTCACTCACTGTGGGCTGCTGGCATCCAGCCTGGGGCTTTTTACATAATTTATTTTTAAGCTTTTATATATTCCTAAAATATATGTTTTTATGTGTACTATGTATTTATTTATGCGTGTGTACTAACTGTGTGACTGCCTGGTGCCCATGGAGGTCAGAGAGGGCATCAGTTCCCCAGGAACTCACATTTAATCCACAACATAAATGAACAGAGCATCCACTTATTCAAACTTAAGGAAATTCTGGCTCATGAGAAATCATGGACACAAGGAAATACACCAATGTCACATGATCACCTAGGGTAGCAGAAGTCACAGAGATGGACAACAGAACTGTGGGTGCTTGCAGGTTTGCAGGAAGGGAGAAAGAGGAGTAGCAGTTTAGTGAGTCTGGAGTTTCTGTTTTGCAGGACAAAGGTGTAGAAATAGATAGTGATGCTGGTACCTCAACAATGTTCTGGATCCCACTGACCCACAGAAATGGTAAACACACGCTGGGCGGTGGTGGCGCACACCTTTAATCCCAGCACACGGGAGGCAGAGGCAGGCGGATCTCTGTGAGTTCCAGGACAGCCAGGGCTACACAGAGAAACCTCGTGGGGGTGGAGGGGGGGGCCCTTACCATCATCGGGAAAACAATGGCAGCGGGCGAAGCCTTGATGACCCACAGCAGGACAAGGCAGGTGAGCTGGATGAGGGTGAAGAGGTGCACTTTGCGCAGTGGCACGTGCCGCAGGTAGATGAAATCCGGTTGGTGTTTGGCAGGCATCCCAAAGAGCTTCAGACGATCAAAGAACTGGGAGAAAGAACACACACTGGCTCTGGGAGGCCTCCGGGCTAAGGGGCCTCAAGCCCATTCGTAACCCCGCGCCATCTGCTCTGCATGGTGCTAGTGTGGGTTCTACTGAGAGAAATGGGAACTGGGTCTCTAAGACAACAGTTAGTAAGTGGCAGACATAAAACTACCTTTTCTAATTCCAGGTGCAAATTTCTCCCCCCACCCCACCCCTACATTGCAACCGAAGAGAACATTCCCAGGGTGGGTAAACACAAGCCAACCGCGTCTTTGTGCATACTATCAAAAGCAAGTTCACCCACGAGTGGTTGCACGGACATATCACTACAGGCTGGGGCAAAAGGACAGGCAAGAGTTTGAGGCCGGCCTGGGCTACACAGGGGGCTCCAAGTCAAACTGAGCTACAGAATAAGACACTCTTTCAAGGAACAAATTCTCTCTCCCCAAATCTCTAAGTTCCCAAACCCCAACTCTTCACTTGTTCTTTGAAAGATTTGAAACCACTTATTGACAAGATCAAAAGAGACCTTCAAATGCTGGATACAGGAATTATGGTATTGTGGGGCCAGTGAGAGGGTTTAGGAGAAGTGCTGGTACACAAGCCTGATGACCCGAGTTCAAATCCTGGGACCCATATAAATGTGGAAGGACCAAAACAGCCACACAGTTGGACCACAACATGCATGTTGTAGCACATGTGCCCACACATACCACCCGCCCCACACATGTACACACGTGCACACATACACACCACCACCACCCTCATGCCATGTCAAGCATGTGGAGGTCAGAGGACTACTTAAGGCAGCTGGCTTTCTTCTCTCACCATAGGTTCCAAGGATGTAACTCGGATTGTCAGGCTTGGTAGTGAGCACCTTACAGGTTTGGTAGTAAGCACCTTACAGACTTGGTAGCGAGCACCTTGCAGGCTTGGTAATAAGCACCTTACAGGCTTGGTGGTAAGCACCTTACAGGCTTGGTAGTGAGCATCTTACAGGCTTGGTAGTGAGCACCTTACAGGCTTGGTAGCGAGCACCTTACAGGCTTGGTAGTGAGCATCTTACAGGCTTGGTAGTGAGCACCTTACAGGCTTGGTAGCGAGCACCTTACAGGCTTGGTAGTGAGCACCTTACAGGCTTGGTAGTAAGCACCTTACAGGCTTGGTAGCGAGCACCTTTCCTGTCGAACCATCTCGGTGTCTTTTTGGTTCTCAACTGATGTTTCAGGTCTAGGTCTACAGGAATTTGGCAAAGTGTGCCTGGTCTGATGCCAAATAACCACTGAATAAGAATGGCTAGAACAATGACATCAAGCCATGTTATTCTGGAAGTCAATACTCTCAGGCCCTCATGACCTTATTTTGAACCCCATATCTGAAGGCGTTTCTTGGCCAGACAGCAAGACCGGGAAGTCTCAGGAACTGGCTGTGCCTCCCTTGGGGAATTGTGCCTCTCTGGTCAAGACAAGTGAACACAGAGCAAGAGACATGTGTAGCAGAAACACACAATACCTGGATTCCTTGTAGAGAAGAGACTCCCATGTAGAGGAAAACTCCATAGAGCACTGGCATCGGGATAAACTGCAGACAAGGACACAAGACAAAAAAAAAATGGCATACCAACAGAGCTTAAGTCTATCTTTTTTTTTTTTGAGACAGGGTCTTACTGTGTAGCCTTGGCTGGCTTAGAACTCAATATGTAGACAAGGCTGGCCTTGAACTCATGGACACCTGCCCATCTTTGCCTCCTGAGTGTTTAGATTAAAGGGTATGTGCCAACATGTACCATCTATATAAACTTTTAAATTTGAAAATGAAACCTAGTCACAGACTGTTTCATAAGCCTCTCTTCCAGTTAAAGTAGAAAAAAGGATAAGCTGGGGATGATCAAAATCATTTTATCTTGAAATGAAATTGTTACCCAAGGTAAGTCATGGTCTCATGTCTCCTCCAGCCTCTCCCCCTTCCAGCCTTCCTCCTCCCTAGATATGAGTACACAGATAGAGACACACGCACACTCATGGTCATGTGCACACACACATGTACACACATGCACACACACTCATGGTCATGTGAGCACACACATGACACACATGCACACACACTCATGGTCATGTGAGCACACACACATGACACACATGCACACACACTCATGGTCATGTGAGCACACACACATGACACACATGCACACACACTCATGGTCATGTGAGCACACACACATGACACACATGCACACACACTCATGGTCATGTGAGCACACACACATGACACACATGCACACACACTCATGGTCATGTGAGCACACGTATACTTGCACACATTCACAGTCATGTACACATACACATACTCGTGGTCATATGCACACACACATATATACATGTACACATTTGTGGTCATGTGCACACACATGCGTCACATGCGACATACACACTTGTCAAGTACACACACGTGCATACACACTCACGATCATGTGCACACACATATTCACACACATCTATCATGCGCACACACATGTATACTTGCATACATTCATAGTCATGTACACATACTTACATACATTCAAGGTCATGTGCACATACACATATATACATGCACATACTTGTGGTCATGTGCACACATGCATACACATGTACATATACACTTGTCCTATACACACACATGCATACACACTTGTGGTCAAGGGCAAACACACTCACACACACACACACACTTCACTGACATAATTTAAATCTTCTATATTCATCATCACTTCCTTAGGAACTCAGAGTATTTTGACACAAATTTTTTAAAAATTCATTTTTCTGACCTAAGACTTGAGGGCATCAGAGAAGAAACTAGTTGAGAACATGCTGTCATATTGTAGGCTTTCGTTGTTGTTGCTGTTGTTTGTTTTTTCGAGACAGGGTTTCTCTGTAGCTTTGGAGCCTCTCCCGGCACTCGCTCTGTAGACCACGCTGTCCTCGAACTCACAAGATCTGCCTGCTTCTGCCTCTCAGGTTCTGGGATTAAAGGTGTGCACCACCACTGCCCAATTTATATTGTGTATGTATTTTTTAAGTGGTGGGCACATCCCGTGAATGTGGCTTTCCTGTCACATCATGTCTTAGAAAGCTGGCCTTGAAATTGCTGTGTGCAGAAGGAAGGTCTTACACTTCTGATTTCCTTGCCTCTATCCATTTCACCATCCCACCATCCACGTCACCACCCTGCCTGGCTGCTGTGGTGCTGAAGATCAAATCCAGAGCCTGACACCTCGACACAGTGTTCTACATCCCTAGTCCCTCAGCTTGCTTTTATCCTGGTCTAGAGAACAACAGAACTCCCTCAGAGTTACAAAGTCCACATTGGATTTAACATTGCCCTAACTCTAGAGCAACTAGACATCCCAGTCTGCAGTACTGCTGGATAGTGTCTGTGCCCCTGAGTCTTCATTGCCTGACATAACTTAAGAGTCACCTGGAAAGAGGAAATTCCAGTGAAGAACGGCCATGGGCACATCTGAGGGAGACTGTCTTCATTAATGATTACTGGAGGAGCCCACTGTGGGCAGTGCCAACCCTAGGCAGTGGGGCCAATTGTATAAGACAGTCAGCTGGGTATGTGCCAGAGCATGAGTCAGTATACAGTGTTCCTGCAGTGTCTACTTCAGTTCCTGACCCAACTGTCCTTCATGATGGACTGTTACCTGCAAGTGGAAGGTGAAATAAGCCCTTTCCTCCCCAAGTTGCTTTTAGCCATGGTCTTTATAAAAAAAAAATAAAAATACTAAAACAATATCTATGCTAGTAATCAAGAGGCAGAGGCAGTAGGACTGCCACAAGTTCAAGGCCAGCCTAGTCTACATAGTGAGTTTTAGCCATCCAGGGCCATATAAGACCCATCTCAAAAACAAAAACCCAGGAGTAAGAAGGACTAGGGACATAGCTCAACAACACAGAGCTTGCTTTGCATGCAGAAGGCCCTGGTTGGACCTCCAACATGAAGGAAGCTATTCAAAGAAGAGCAAATGGCAAGGCAGTGGTCTGTCAGAGGACTTACCACATTTTATAATTACCATGTTTGTTTCTTACCCACAAGAATAAATTCTTCCAGGGCAGGGATCTGCACATGTATATATCGGAGTCACTGTAACGAGTGATTACCTTTAAGACAGTCGTCATGAAGACTGAGCAGCCCATCAGCACAAAGATCATAAGGCCTGTAACTCTCTGCTCTCGGATGCCTAAGAACTTAGGCTGTTCCCCCGGAGCAGAGCACTCAGACTCCAGTTTGAGGCTATTCACATGTGTGATGGACAGGACGGTTGCAGCCACAAACCAAGGCAGGCCCATGATGGAGCAAACACCCAGCATGACAGCCACCATCAGCAGGTCCAGGTGGTAGCCACAGCCTTTCTGTGGGGAAACAGTCACTGATAGTGAGCGAAAGGCTTCAGGCTAAAAGCTAGGAGTCTAAGGGGGAAGGGTTCAGAGAATGCTCACAACCCTCCCAGTTAGGAGGGAACACAGAAGAAAAGCTTGTCCTATACATACGCCAATATCTGTTCTTTATACTGTTGCCTCAGCTTCCTCTGCTTGAATCTCACACATTCAAAACTCAGCCCTTCCCTGGAAGGGCAGCAGGAAGCAAGCCATGTGGTGACCGTCCTAGATACTACAGAGCAACGTTTTCATTGAGTTCCTGGACACCACCCCATTGTCAAATCTGTATTTTGCCACAGAGATGGGAGGTACGTGGCATCTCACTAATACCTGAGTTACAACTAACCCTAGTCTCATTAATCCTAAACTCAAGATTCATCTTGAAGCCTCACACTAGACCTCAGTGGGAGGATTCCTGCCTCTGGGAAACAAAGGCCCACAGCCCTGAGTCGAGCCTTAGGAGGAAAGCTGTCTAGAGTTGATTCAGAACATGTAGCTATCTAGCAGGGCCTCTGACCACCCACCTCTACAGTCTGAGAGGAGAGTAATGGAGCCCAGGCTCCTCCCACATCATGTCACATACTCCACTCCAGTCTCATCTCCAGCCAACCTTTGTTATGAATGGACAAACAATGACAAGCCCTTGTGAGACTCTATTCAGCTCAGCCCCTGGTACAGCCAGGCTTATCCTGAAGTAAAAAGCCTTCCAGGCTGGAAGCTCTGCTTTACCTTGAGCTTATGCTCCTTCCTATTAATGATGACAGCGGTGATCTGCTGGTCCATGAATATCAAGATAGTACACAGGAGAGCTGGGATAATTGCCGCTAGCACAGTCCACCAGGGGTTGGGGCCAAGGGGGCTGATAAACCATCCTCGATCATCCCGTGTTGGCTAAGAGATAAAACAAGCTGAATTTTCGTATCTTAACTCGGAGATTAGGGCAAAACAAATCAAGCTGAATCATTATTCTACTTTTCCTTTTGTTCTCATCGGAATGGAAATCCTTAGGAAAACAAAACAAAACATGAAATACAGCAACCCCTGAGGAAATCTCTGCCCTTTTTCTCCAAATCCCCCCTAGCAGTCAATCATCACTTATCAGCTTCCTGTGGAATATCCATTAATCCTACATGGCCTTCCATTTATTCCCCAAGTCCCCAAGAGCAGAGAAAGCAACTTTACCTCAATGTCAGCCCAAGTAAATATGTTAGTAACTAAATCTGTTGTTTAAAACAAAGTGACTTCCTGAGACAAATATACATAACACAGATGATCCTCGCAGGAGCCACAGACTGTCTGAAGTACAAACAGAAGCCAAGTGGGCCCAAGTTACTCAGATTCTTGGGCTGAGAGCAGATTATCCCATGAGCCTCATCAGTGGTGAAGCAGGAGCCCAGGAACTGGAGACTTAGGAGTCCCCAGGCTTGGGATGCTGACCTAGGACCCTCTTTGACGGCTTTATATGCTATTTGTTCAAACTCTCAAACCCACTCTTGGGGCACTCTAAGAAAATGGTGCAGGAGGATAAAAGGCTATCACCCAGAATGACCCCAAACTCAGCAAATAAAGAGAGATTGCTGTATCTGAAGCATTTGGTTGCTACATTAGTTACAACACTTGGGCTAAAGAACTCTCCAATAAGCAGGGTGTTGGTGGCACACACCTTTAATCCCAGCACTCGGGAGGCAGAGGCAAGTGGATCTCTGTGAGTTCGAGGCCAGCCTGGTCTACAGAGTGAGTTCCAGGACAGCCTCCAAAACAATACAAAGAAACCCTGTCTCAAAAAAACCAAAAAAAAAAAAAAAAAACCTCTTCAATAATACTGGCAAGTCCTGAATTTTGAACTGGTTAGAACTGGTTAAATAAATTGTAAAAGCTTTAGAACCTGTTTCCATTATAAGACTATGTAGTTAGTTATAGGTAGCAGTTAAGTTCTCAGGCCAACACAGAAACTTACTAACACATTAATGATACTGTAAGCAGTCTCATAGCCAGGCCTGCTATGTTCATTCTATATTTGCAGACTCAATCAACTGCAGATTAGAGACATTGGGGAGATGCCTCTATGTTAGACACATACAGATGTTGATCATTGTTCTCCAAACACTACAGTAGGACAGCTTTACACTGCTGTGGGTAAAGTGGTCTACAGATGTTTTAAGTCCGGAGGAGCTCGGACAGAGGTTGGATGCAAATACAGCATTTCCTGTATGGAGTGGAGCGTCTGTACCCCTGGGTCCTAGAACTTCAGTGTGGCCTTGGGAGCAAGGACTGGCTTGTTAAGGAGAGAAGGCGGAGACCGCTTCCTCTCTGCTTTCTAAGTTGTCTGCACCGGCCATGTTTCCTTGGATCTTCTACTTCCCTCTCTGTCTTCCCCTGCCTCCCAAAGGTCCCAGAAATCAACTCATGTCTTAAGCCTGTGTGTACCTCAGAACTTTCCCAAGGGTTGCTTCATGCTCCAAATTTGCCCATTTTTATACAAAATCCATTTGTCCTGCAGCCAGCTAGGTATTAGAGAGAAAGCTGATGGTGTCCATTCATACAGGGATAAGAACAGCAGGCTCTGGGAGGTGTTATACTTACAGAGGATGTCTCTTAACCCATCCAACATTTTAGCAAGCTTAACATTGAACAGATGAAATAGAAAAAAATATATATATAGTGTCTCCTTACGATTACTGTGAAGATAGCGAGGAAGACGGCGAGTCACTCACCATGGAGCATCCCTGCCTGGCCTAAAACCCGCTCTGTAGACCAGGCTGGCCTCAGACTCACAGAGATCTACCTGCCTCTGCCTCCCGAGTGCTGGGATTAAAGGTATATGCTATGGAGCAACAAGGGCTACCACCACCGCTGTCTGTCTTCCTGCCATCCTCAGCCCCCCTATTCTGTTGTCTTCTGAAGTAGATGAGCATATCCAGGCTTTCTGTCCTCTCCACCATTGCAATGAGGGTCTATGGAGTTAACTAAACTCAGCCCTCCAGTCTCGTCTACTTATAACCCTTGCACTGAAATAGATCTGGGATCCCAGTGATTGATCATTATTTTAGTTTGCATGTAAGTTTTTAAAATACTATGGGTTATAAATAAACAAACAATTGAAGAGATGTCCTGATGGCTCAGCAGAAGCCCTGAACTCCAAACAAGATCTTCTTAGGTCTTAGGTCATTTCTACTCTTCCCAGTTCCTTCAGGCTGCAGCTCTGTGAAGGTGGCATCACCCAAGTGTGCTCCCAGGGCCCACGCCTCCACACCAGCACACTGTTATGTAAATGGGCACTTTCCATTCATCTACAGCTGAGCAGGTCATGTATTCGTATCCGTTATAGTGGAAGTTCCACCAAGTCCCACACACCATCTCTCTCCAAACCTTGCTGCATCTCAGAAAGCCCACCAAATGATGACGCCTCCCCAAGAGATGCTCAAGACCACTCCCACAGGGTATTTAAACTGCCTTCCCAAAAATAAACTTGTGGTTTTCTGGTCTCTCTTTCCTGTCTCCTCTCTGGGAGGCTGGAAGGCCATCCGGGAGCATTGCATCCATTAAACGTGGGTTTTTTCTAATTTGGTTTGATTTGGTCTGATCTGGATTGCTGCATCGGCAGAGAGGCTTATCAGGGTGTAACACCTTTTCAGTATTCATAATAACACACATTAAATTTTGCTTACTGAACCTCTGAGATCAACTTCAAATCAGCCTGCACTGAGGCACCAAGCTCCCAAGACCCACCTACCTTGAACACACTGGGGACCTGAAGCTTTGGTGATGGGACTCCAATCAAAAAGTCAACGATCACCATCGTGAAGATGGTGAGGAAGACGGCAAAGTCACTCACCATGGAGCGCACCTGACACAAGAAAAAAATCACAGCAGTTAATACAGCAAAGGCGGAAGCACCCGGAAGAGCTACCATTTCTCAGAAAGATGTTTTGCAGCTAAGCTAATACAAGACTATTTAAAAAGACTATTTTAGTATACTCAAATGCCCACAGTGTGTGTGCATGTAATATGGAACAACACACTCAAATGCTCACAGTCTGAGTGTAATATTGAACAACAAACCTCTGACAGAGTCTCTAAAGAGCAGTTTGGGGTGCACAGGCCCAGGCTCAGATTCCGGGTCTAGCCGAGGTCATCTGTGCAAGCCCAGATCTCAGATCTGCACCTTCTTGTTTCCACATCCTGGATCTGATCCATCCACAAAGCCTGTTAGCCAACCTTCAGAACATGCCAGAATCTAAGCACGACTCGTCACCAGAGCTGTGCCACACTCAGCCACAGTCACTGCCATCTCTCACTGGGGTAACCGCTCACCTTGGCCCTCCAATGTTCCTGAACACAGCTTCTGGGGTTATAACTTAAAAGCTGGGTTGAATCATGTTCTTCTAGCAAAACCCCGAGAGGCCTCCTTGTTTCACTAAGTTCAAACCCAAAGCGCCCTCCTCCCTGTAAAGTCCACAGAGCCGCCGGTGCTGCCCCTCCCGCTCACGATGCTCCCTACCCTTGCTTTCTTTAGCATTATTCTTTCATGCACCGGCCAGGCTCACTCCATCTCTGCGTCTTTGAACTGCTCATCCCCTGACTATGTTTCTGCCAAGCGACTTCGGGTAACTCAGGTCCCCTGCAGCTTAACTCAAACACAGCCTTCTTTCTGAGATTTTCCTGTGATAGGACAAAGAGACGGGGAATCTAAGGGGATGCTGGAAGGGACAGGGATTCCCACTCTGGATCCGAGGGCCGAGAGTGCTTGTCTTCCTGAAGATGTGGAGACAAGAGGGTCCTTACTCAGGACCTGAATGTCTGAAGCCTTGAGTCACTGAGTCAGCATTCCTCTGACCCATATATGTGCACATGTATGTAGAAAACTAGAGATCACCCTTGGGTACCACCCTTTAGAAACACCATCACCTCCTATGAGACAGGGAACATGGAGCTCACCAGTTAGGCTAGAGTGACTGCCAGCAAAGCCCCAGGGACAAGTCTCCCCCTCCCTACAGCTAGAGTCACATGTGCACCATGACACCGGGACTTTCTACCCTGGCTCATGCTTTTCACCACCACAGTCTCACACTTGCAAGGCACGCACTTTCTACTGATGAAACCATCTCCCAGAGACCTGTAAGCTTTTACTTATTTCAGCTTCAGTCCGCAACCCTTGCTGTAAACTGCACACACATAGCTGCCACTAAAAGCACCTAGGTGTCACTCTGCACTTAATTAAGACCATCAATGTGTCTTCAGTGTGTGCTGTCCTTTCCCTACGTGACCCTGTCTAAATACTTTGAGTAAACTCACCAAGCTTGTTCACTCCATCCTGTGTGAAAGTCTCTTCTGTGGTGTAGTCAAGGACTGGCTTTCACTGAAATTCCTCAGGCTAGTGGCTGTGTTGGACGGAGTCCCCAGCACAGCCGACATCACTTATGGTCCTACTAAAAACTTGCCATTGCCCCCAGCACTTCCTTCCTGCCTCATTTTTTTCAATAGCATTTATTTCTTCTGTGTGTGTGTGCGCGTGTGTATGCATGCATGCATGTGTATTATGTGTGGTGTATGTGCATGTTTGTGGTATGTGTGCATTTCTCTGTGTGTGTATTCATATGTGTGGTTTGTATGTGTGTGATGTTTGTGCATGCATGTTCATGTGTATACATGTGTGCATGTGTGTGTGGTATGTGTATATGTGCACATGTGTTTGTGTGTGTGTGTGTGTGCATGTGTGCACATGTGTATTCCCATCCATTTTAAGGCCTGTCCCAAGAGGACCACCCCATTTAGAGCTTAGATGAGCTTTACTGAAACATAGGGATGTGCGCCCTGGTCTCAGCTCCCCACAGAGAGGAGGTAAAACACCCTGCAACACACAGCATCACTGCTAACTTCACCTTGCTTTGATGCCTCAGATTTGCAGCACACTTTCCATGGTTTTATTCATCCCTGACTATCTTCTCTAAAGACTCATTCCCATACCTGTACCACGAAATGACCATGACCACCCTGGGCCCACATCGTCCTTCTGCCTCTGAATTTCCACAGCAGTGACTTCCCAGGAAGATGGTATCAACTGTCCCCTCGACTCTCCCTTCATATCCACCAGAAAATACTACTTTTGAGTTATTTTTTAAAGTATTAATTTATTTACTTATTCTGTGTGTATCTGCACACACTATGACACACATGGAGACAGAGGACAACCTGTATGTCCCAGGGATTGAACTCAGGTCATCAGACTTGGCAGCAATGGTCTTTACCCACTGACCCATTTCACTGGCCCTACAGATATCTTTAACTTCGTGTCCCCCACAGCACTTACTCAGGTTTGCGCAACTGGTGGCATCTAACAGCCACTTGTTAAATATTTGTCCAGATAGGAAACGGTTGTGAATTTATTTAATATGCTGCTTCCCCTCAGCTACTCTGCAGGCTCACTAAGGCCTAAGAATGAGTTTCAGTCATGGATGTGTATACGGTAAGTAACCAACCAAGCCCCGACCTACAAATTCATGTACTCTGGCATCCATCTGTGCCTGAATGAGAGCCCTCACAGAAGCCATGGCCCATACAGCTGCTCAAACTCGGGCCTCTAAGTCTGCTCTGCCTGAACCGGCAGAAACCCTGCTCATCAGGGAAGGAATCCAAGTCAAGGTTCCTGCAGCCAGGAAGTTCATCTATGGCAGGAACCACATCTGGGGAGGGACTTTTGAGTCCTTTAAAGCACACAAGCCAATCTCTCCAGCAAGCTTGCTCTAGCTTTACATCCCCAGTGTCTCAGAATCCCGGACATGAGCTTGAATGGCATCCTGGACCTGAGATGTAACCTTAGAGAACATCAGTACCACCTTCCTGCGCTTTTCAATCAAAAAGGCTGTAAGCATCCTCACTCCATACCAAAAAGCTCTGAAAAGGCTGCCGAGCACTAGAAAAGCCTGCCCCGGTGCTGCCACTCATCAGGACAGCTGGTGCCCTCCATGCTGCCAATCTCTATAGCAGCATGGGGCTGAGAACCGGTTCTGTTGTTAGAATCCTAACACAAAAGTAACACATGAGCAGCTACCTACTCTGGTCGGGAAATAGCGGCTTGTCTTAAATGTCTTTAAGGTGCTTGAGAGGATGAAGGTGGTGAAGAAGAGGATACAGGACCAAAAGAGCACATCGGGAGTGTAGGGTCCGTGATGACCACACGCCGGTCCCACGAACTCTCCATGCATCTCCTGGCATTTCTGGAAGAAGAGGAACCCTGGGTTACAGAAGGCAGGCGCATGGGAACAAACAGCTGCTGCCTTCTGAGTTCGCCATGCACTGCCATCCCGAGCTTGCCGGGCACCACAGGCTACCAGCACTGTCTGCTTACCCACCATGCAGCTAGAGCCCTCACCAGCAGGTCCCTGTGAAGAACACCGGGTGGTCCTAACCAGTGCACTCAGACATGGAGTTAGACCTGCCTGGAACGAACACCTCTCCCGAGGCTCTGGGAAGAACTTAGGAGCTGATATTATTTTTTATTAGAGAGAACCTTTAAGACTGGTTATAAATATTTAGGTTTATAAAGCTTTCATGTTTGCTCTTTTAAAAAAGAATATTCATTTTTGTGAGTTTTTTTTCATGAAAACCAGCCATCATGTTTGCATAAAACACAAAAATGCAATAAAGCGAACACTGTCATTAGTAGAAAATTTTCTAAACGTTGTGGAGAGACTCTGATAAGAAATGAGCACACATGGATGGGAATTGCAGCACTTCAGAACACAAAAGTCATCTTAAATATCTTAGGGAGAGCCCACAGTGCTGGAGGGCATACACCATCACAAAAATATGCCAGTTTTTTCAATATGACTTATAAATAAAACGTAGCAATTTTAGCATGATAAAGGCAAAGAAATCTATATCAATATGATGAAACAGAGCTAATCAGTAACAGGCCCCACATAGTTACTGCTTATATGATCAAAATGGCCCTTTGTAACCCGTAACGGGTCTCTCAGTACTCTGATGACCTGAAACTATCATGTTTCCACCTCGGGCTCCCAAGGACTGGGACTACAGATGTGCTCGACATCTGGCTTAAGTGTAAATGCCAGCGTCCAGCATCTGAAAGTCCTACTGCTCTGCCTCCTTCTAGAAGTCCTTCACAGACCCGGTGGTCACAACAGAGGGCCTCTAGCCACGCCCAGACTTACACTGACAGTCAGGTTCGCCCAGTTCACTTCTGTAGTCACAATGTTGTGGTCCTTCCAGTACTGTAAAGTGTGGTTGTTTGGATTCTCTGGGAGTGTGCACCTGCAGCTAGGGAAAGAGGAAAACATCTCTAACGGAAGCAGCCAGCTAATTTAAAGTGTTCTTAGCCATAACCAGGTTAAAGGCTCTGTCGGAGCCTATCTCCTTTCTCATAGACTTCAGATCTTGGAGATGGGTCCTATTGGTTGAAGACAACTTACCAACACAACCATGCTCTGAATCTTTAGCTGGTCATGACTAAAGATGTGTTTAACTCAATCAGTATGTAGGTCTTGGATAAAATGGTATGGACAACCTATGCCTGGCATGTGATATGCCCAGAATAAGCCCGGGAGGTTCCTTGTTCAGTTTCTATCCTTTAAGATCTCGCTATGAGTCAATCTACACAGCGAGGAGGTCCTGATGCTGTACTCAATTCTCAACAACCTCCTTCAAGTCTCAATGCCTGACTCCCATGCCTGCCGTCATGCTTCTATTTAAACACTAGAAGCTCCTGGAGTGCATCTCCACTACACAGCATTTCCTGCCTACTGCAGCTGAGCTAGGCCTGGCTGCCCCCTGCCCCCCTTCCCCCTCCTCTCTCTCACCCATCCAGGTTAGACACAGTGTCCCGCAGGCCACCATGCTGCCTCCCAACCTCAGCATGCTTTGCATCAGTATGGTCAACTGACAGCCATTCTCACCACTTTTGCATCATCTGTGCATTTAGAAGACACACCTTTTATAACAGAATTGAAATCCAGATCTCAACAGAAGGACGCCTCAGAACTACACTTAGTTTTTTAAACAAAACAATCTCAGGGCTGGGAAGGTTGCTGAGTGGGCAAACCACTTGCTATAAAAGCCTGAGAACCTGAGTTTAAGTCTCTAGAATTAGCCACTTAGGATCACACCCAGGATGAAGGTGCAAGTGGAGACGCAGTACCTGGAACCTTGCAGGTCAGCTAGCTGGGAGCACAGTGCCAAACAACAGGGAGACTATGGCAAACAAAATGGCAGGTTGGTACAAAAAAGGGCAGTGATTTCCCCAGTGGTCTAACCATTGGCAAAAGGTCTGTGTTCATATAAATAACCCTCACCACCCAGCCTCATGTAAGTCACCCCAATTAAACTCGGTGGGTCTTACACACACATACACACGAACCACACACATGCACACATACATGAAGACACGAAAGGAGGAGGAGGGCTGGCGGGACAGAAGAAAGGATCGGCGGAAGGCGGCGGGATGGAGGAATGTCAGGGAAAGTAACTGGGGTGAACAGGATCAAGAGGCATTATGTACTCAAGTCCATGTATTACGCTGTCAACTATGATTACCATGCCCTGGTAGAGGGAACGTTCCCAGCTCTGTAAGTGAAAACAAAGGGGAGAGAGGCAGGGAAGGCGTACTTACTAGTAGAGGCTAAGGTGGTCCAGCTGGCTGTGCATGTGGATGGGGTAGGTCTCTGCCAGGTGGATCAGCTTTTCTATTGCTTCATAGATGAAAATAATGCAAATCAGGGAGGCAAACGCTTCTTCTGTGAAGCGAGTGATGTAGCAGACGAGGGAACTGGCATCAGTGGCCACAAGGACAATACACAGGAAGGCAGTCCACAGCCCGATGCAGGCTCGCAGGGAGAGGTATGAGAGGGCGTAGTCCCTGAAACACAGATGCTCATGAAGAAACATGGAGGGGAGGCACAGAGAGGCAAAAGGGACCCATGGCTGATTCGGCTCAGCTTATTCACAACGGCACTGCCACCCTTTGTCCCTAAGGCTGCACGGACTGTGCTCCTCAGAGAAGGCCCGGGACAGCCTGCTCCAGCTCTTCCTCCCTGGAGCTGTTTGCAGGGTGAAGACCAGAGAGCAGAGAAGGAAGGAAACACTGCATCGCATACTTCCGCCATCACTACCCAATGTGATTCCAAGTGTGGTCATGCAAGGAGAAGGCGGGGACGGCTCGGTCCCGTGTGTTTCCACTTCTAATACGAGGTGAGAAAAGAGTCTTACAGGATGGAAACTAGAGCACTGAGGCCCCACCGCCACCCACAAACAGAACATGAGGAAAGGACAGTAAGTTGTCCTAAAACATAAGAGTCTGAGTCAGTTAAGATATTTTTCTTAAAAATTAAAAAGTCCACCTGGGCATGGCAGGGTAGCCTGCAATCCAGCACTCAGGAGACCACAGTAAGAGCAATGTTAGTGCAAGGTCAGCCTGGGCTACACAAAGAGACCCTAGCTCAAAATAAATAAATAGAGCTGGAGAGCCCGCTCATGGTTAAGAGCACTGGCCGCAATTCTGGAGGACCTGGGTTTGGTTGCCAGCTCCCGAACGGTGACTCACAACTACCTGTAACTCCAGTTCCACCATATCCAACACCCTCTTCTGACTCCTATGGGCACTGCACATGCATGGTGCATAGACATACATGCAGGCAAAATGCCCACACACATAAACTAAATATGAACACATCTCAAAAACTGATAAATTTAAGACACTGAAGATGTAAAGACTTGGAGCAATGGTGAGGAGATGCTAAGCAGCTACGGGAGCTGTAAGAGGATGGCAGGCTGGAGGCGCCTGCCCGGGGGTTTGTGTGTCTGAGACTGTGTGCCTGCACAGGAGCTGGTGCTCAGCCTGAGCAGAGGCAGCCACACCCAGCAGCTGAAGGGGAAAACAACATCTTACTTGCAGAACTTGAACAGGATCTTCTCAAACACGAGCACTGGGCCGGTGCTGCCCAGGATGGTGAGGGGCTGCCCAGCAAACAAGGAGTAGGCGATCCCCGTCATGGACGCTCCAAACAAGGACTCAATTGCACTCTGAGGAAAGAGAAAGAATTCAGAGTCCGCAGCCGTACGCAGAGAAGAGCTGCCTTACCTACACTGACTTAGCTGCTACGTGTCTTGACAGTCATTTGCTTGTGTGTCTTCTAAGCAAGAGTGAGGGGTACACAGTGCCTAAGTTCTTGCTAACAAACGCCACTTTAATAATTCAGGTACCAAGCCATCTGCCACGATTTCTCAACTAAGTTTTTATCCTTCAGCTCAGTTCGATATTCAAAGGAATATAAAAGCACAGTGTCATTCACATGACATCCTATCCCACAGAGTCACCGATCCAGGCAACCAGCTACTGAAAGTGACATACAAGCAGAAGGGATATGAGTGGGAGGCAGGACTGGACTCCTCCATGTGCAGGATGCAAACCTGGGCCCCGACACAGGTCAGAAAACCCAGTCATTCAGGACGTAGGGTCCAGCCTCCTCAGCACTGCCTAGGTAAGGTACCCCCAAAGAACTTGGATGCTACCACAATGTTTTAAGTCTTGTTTTGGACCATTAGAAATGATGAAAAGTCCTTACTATACGTCCTTCAGTGGCTTCTCCAAGCAGTCCCCCAAAGGTGATAACAGGCGACATGCAGGCACAGTACAGGAACAGAAAGGAGGCCAGACACTGTAAGCTGAGTGCATCCCGGTAGTCACTCCAGTACCAGGGAGCCTTCCGTTTGATGTCCAGCACCAAGCCCCCAAACAGCCTGAAGAGACAGGGTGGATAGGCCTCGAACACAGTCCCTCTTCCGCAAGGGCACAGAGCACCACACATCTGAAAGAACTTCAGACGTGCTCAGTAATACTGTAGTTTCAACTTCACCCAAGCACATCTCTTTGGCACAGACAGACTCTATTATAACCCAGGGTATGACATATGGAAGAACTGAATAGGTACCGAGCATTAAAAAGTGAATTTAGGTATGCATATTTGCCCACATATCAACATTCAAAAAAGGAACAAGAAGGCAACTGTTAGCTTCCGTTTCAATTTCTAAGCTATTAGAGGAAACGTGAAAAGCAGCTCAGGTTACCAGTGTTGTTGAGGTATGAAGCCCTACTCATGCGCATTTCCACCCTGAGCAGCCCCCTGCCTCAGTCCCTGCGTAAGGACTGACTCAGGCACAAGGCCAGGCGCTGGAGCTGCAGCACGGAGCAAGACAAACGCAGCCCTTGCTCTCCAAGACCGACAGACTAGTGCAGGAGGCAGGCAATGCGTGGCGGTGGGTGCTGCGGCGGCACACGTTGGGGAGGGGCACTCAGCAGGGACTCAAGGAAGGACCAGGAGACAGCCAGGCGAGGCAGAGGGACCAGCAACGGGGACACCCCAGGGTGAGAACATGTGCTGGGTCCAAGGTGGCTAGCAGAGATCAACAGCACAAGGGCAAAAAACTAACCGACAAGGCGGGAGAAACAGAGTCACGGAGGCTGTGGATGGTTTTAAGGGATTGGCACTTAATCCTAATAGCATGTCAATCCATGCCAATCCATGTTAGTGATGGATTTTAAACCGTGGAGCATCAGCAACCAACATGCATTCTAGAACCACCACCTTGTGGCAGTGTGAAGGGAGCATGGATTGAGGTGAGGGGAAGCGGTCAGTTCAAGGGCTACTCAGAGGGAGAATCAGTAGGGCCCCATGGAAGCTTTAGGGCCCTTGCGGAGGAGGCCAGTGAAGAGAAATATGCACACTGAGGAGGAACACTGCCCTCAGCGAAGCCATTTCCTAAGTGGAGCCTTAGTACCACAGCGAAGCTACAAGACACAGCACTGGCTTCAGATGGATGGCGTGGGTGGGGGAAATAGGGAGGGCACTAATAAATGCAAACTCTAATTGAATCCTACATCAATAAATAAACTCCAGAAAGACGTTAATAATCTCCAGAAAAATGAACATGGGCTGAGCACTGGCTAATTTAAAGATGGTTAATCTTGTTAGACTTGAGATTGGCATAACTGTTTTTGTAGTGTCCTTATTAAATGAGATACATACTGAGGTATTTACAGGAAAAAAATGACATCCATGATTTAGTTTAACATAATCTAGAAAACAAAAGACAAGTGAGAGGAAATAAATGAAACAAAATTGGTAAAATGTTGGTAACAGCTGATAGATGTCTGGGGGACCATTATATAACTCTTTTTTTTACAAGTTTGAACAACAACAAACCCATTTTCTCTACTGGAGGGCAGTATGGCTGTCCCTTGCCTCTTCTCCTAAGAGCCTAGGGAACTGTGAAGAGGTTGGAACCTACCCTCAGGAGACAAGCCAGCCAATCCTGCTCTGCTCAGCACCGGACTGAGGTGGAGAGTGGAGAAGGGGCCACGGGGTAGAAACTGCCCGCTCGCTGTTTTCCTCTGGCTATCGTGCCATTCCCCCATTTATACCAGTAACATCACCACCTGTCAGGAAAGCCAACCCTGGGACCCGCTTTAGCGCTGGCATGTACAGCAAACCAGCTCAGGCAAATGCGCTATCTCCAGAAGCCAGTCTAGACCACTAAAGGTCAGCCTTGGGGATTTAAAACAGAGTGCCATTTTGTCTTACTCTCTCTGCACACACAGACCCTGAGGGACCTTTGCAGCGGCAGTTATTAATCTGTGGTGTTCATTATTCAAGTGTTTCTGGGTCCTCCCTACAACAGTATTTTGCACCAGAAGCCTATAACCTTTCACAACAACCTCCATCAGAAGGGAAAGAATCTCATACATCTGCCCCACCGAGGCTCCTTGAGATGCTACCCCAATGGCCAGCCTCTGGCACAGGAGGAAAAAACAGATGGTTACATGAGGCAGAGGACATCCATCTAGCACTGCCTGAGACATGGGCACCAGGGTCGCACTGATGGCATGACTTAAAATTATGAATAATTTCTGATTGCTTCTTTTATTTTTGAGATAAGGTCTCTCTATTGCATAAGCCTGGCTGTCCTGGAACTCACTCTGTAAACCAGGCTTGCTTTGAACTCACAGAAATCCACTTGCCTCTGCCTCTGGAGTACTGGGATTAAAGGTGTGCACCAGCACCACTCAACTCTGATTACTTCTTTTGGAGTCAGCCCCATACCTCATTCATGCATAAAATCAGACCGGAATGCAGACATTAACTAGATATGGGTACTTCTCTTCATATTGGAACTTCCTTTCTCTTCAACACTGGCCTTGGCCTTGATGTTCAAGTGTTCAGGGGCAGGAGGCACACAGAGATAGGAATTTAAGTTTGGTGCAAGAACAGACTTACCCGTGTAGAGGGCTCACTAGGCTCTGGAACACTGACTTAGGGAACCCTTCCCTGGAGGGCTTTAGGGACAGGCCAGCCGTCTGTTTGTCTGGTGAGCTTTGAAAGAGACCTGTTTGAAGTGTGGGGGGGATCATCGAGACAGCAGCTCTGGATTTTTTTGTCATTAACCCTTCCCAAAAATTTGTACCCAAATAAGGGATATAAATCTACACCCAAAACCCTTCCCAGAGGACCCTGCTGCAGAGTTCCTGCTGTGGGAAAGCATCTGGTCACATGATATCCCTCCTGTGTTGGCATCAGGAAGCCTTACTATACTGTATTAACCCTGGCTCAGAGGGCCAGGACACAGAGGAATGCTTCCTACTCCTTAGGGCACACTCTACCTGATCTCCAAATACCTCTTCACCCAACATGGATAACGGTTCAGACGTCTCTGCTTTTGGCCTCAAGATTCTACAGCATGACATGCATAAAGAAACATCCGCATTCAAAACTATACAACAAATAGAGTGAAGATTTAGAAACATGTGTTTTGAGATTAGACAATCCAGAAAACTCCAGAAACGTTTAACAAATCCAAGGTTCCCATTCACCTTTTACATAATTTTAAGTGGGCTAGGGGCCAGAGCTGGCCTGGAACTGTGATTACTCTCAGAGGTGCGTGGGTTTGGGGGGCACCTGCCTGAGAGACTACTGTGACAAGAAGGCCATGACCCTGTCGCCCTTCCCTAGGCAGTCTGAAGATGTCTTCAGCTCAGGAAGAGGACAAACCAAGTAGAACTTAGGCCACAGTTCTTTCCTATCATTGTCAAACACAGAAGTCCTTGCTGTGTGAAACATGCAGAACTCTTCTGAATCCTATTTGTATTTTTGAGTTGAGATCATTGGGCTTGTAATTAAGAGTGTGATAATCCTGCCACTGGTGTTTTCCTTGTGAAAATCAGACACTGTTTCTCCAAGACCTGTTGAAATTCAATCTAATGGGGGCCCAAAGCCCCATGGAATGACTCTAAGCACGGATTCTCACGTTCTGTTCTCCTCAGAACTGGAGGAAACCTGAAATCTCACTTCTGCACAGATCACTGTTGAGAAAACTGTTGCCTCAGTCCAACTGCTTCAACTGTGCCTGGGTACAGCCACAGTTATACATCAAAAAGATACACTGTAACTACTACACCTGGGAACAGATCTAGTTATACATAAAAAAGATACACTGTAATTCTGAAATGTTATCAGACCCCAGGCTCCTCCCAGACAGCCTCAGCCCTGGGACCTGGAGCCTCTCTCCAGATGCTCCCCTCACTGCCAGAAAGTTCCCCCCTCACTGACAAATGCTACCCTCCCTGGATTCTCCCCTCACTGCCAGATGCTCCCCTCACTGCCACCAGGCACCAGTTTCCCACGCTCCTCTCTGAACTTGAAACAAAAGGTTTGACTCTCTCCTAGGCTGCTCCCTTTAGCAACAGCCACCTCAATTCAAGGGCTTCTCCTTTCTGCCAATGTTATCCCGGAACAGAGTCACCTTCAATCACATCCTTGCAATCAGAAAAATGTAATCCTCTGTCAGGACAGTGCTAGTTAAGGGCCATCCCCACCCCAGATTTCTCTATCCTCTTCCTGACTTCTCCATGAATTTCCAACAGTAGAAAAATAAACCATGCACTATATTAAAACAATTTAACAAAACACCTGAGGTTCCAGAAGAAAAGGAACAGGGAGATTACATAAATTATCTCCACGATGAGTTCACTCCCACCCACTATAGACAAAACACAACATCTAGAACCAATCCCAGCCTTCTTACCCACCAATGCCTGACGTCATCCTCTTATCTCTTTCCTACCTGAGAAATGAATGGACTTCATAGTCTGTGGACTAGTTACCTTCACCTACCATGAAGGACTTCTTCCTTGGACACCTCTCTTTAAAATACTGGGGGGGGGAATTGTAGATTTCAGACACACACCTAATAGAACACCTACCCTCCTACTATCCTCAGGGAGTGTCTCATCCTAAAATGATGACCCAGAATCTCCTCATACCTTGTCCATTCCATGCCACACACAGGTATCATGCTAAAAGTATTCATTCATTCATTCATTCATTCATTCATTCATCTACAGTGTGTGTCTACTCTGATGAGGGGCACTGTGCTGAGTGCCAGGAATACAGTACATTATTTGACTTTTTGGAGTCAACAGTCTAGCAGGAAACACACACACACACACACACACACACACACACACACACCCCACTAGCAACAACAACAACAAAACCAAGGAATAATAATGAAGTATGACATGGGCTGTAACGATGGTGAGGTAAGAGGGGGGATTAAAGTCAATACTGTAGAAGTACCTAATTTTAGCCACAGAAAATACTAGAAGGCTTTCCAAAGGAATTGGCATCTAAGTGGAGACAAAGGATAAGTAGGAACACCAGGAAACGAGGAAGGGGAAGGGGTTGTGTTCACATCAGAGCTAAAAATGTCTGGAAAGGACAGGCAGAACATAATAAATGGTTTTATAAACCTGAATGAATGAATACAATATTAGACACATCCACAATATGTACAGTAGATGGTTCCAATCTGAAAGTCAACCACAAACAAGGATGCCTCATTCCTTAACAGGTGTCTGCCAGTGAGCAATGTCTCGGAACCTACCGCCCAGTCCGTTCAAGTTCCGGCCCACTGTGTCCCCCGTGTGGCTCTGGTTCTATGTGGCAAATGTTTCCATTTGGAACTCCAGGCATTTTCCGTTTTTCCTTTTGACAAAAGGCCACAAAAGAGTCAGGTCAGCATCTCTCTGTCTTTGCTCTTCCCTATGTCCAAAAGCCAGAAAAATGTTCAAATGTTTGTGGCTTCTGAGTGTATTGCTTATTTGATGCAACTGACTTTCATGGGGATGGGAGATGTGTGTATTTACACATAGAAAACAACCTCCCCAACAGAATCTAATGCCTAACTAGAACTTTCCAGAAATAAGATATGACCTAAACCCCAGCTTCAAATCTGCATCCCTGTATCTCACCATCCTTTAAAATCTCCCCCTAGAAGATCAGTTAATTCTATAAATTACAGATAAGAGCACAGACGGAGGTGGGGTGGGTCTGGGAAGGCCAAATTTACATGGATAAAAATGCTTGGCCTCATCTGGTACACACAGGAGCTTTCTTCCCATTCTCAGTATGTCAGAGAACGATCTGGAAGTCTATTTGCTCCTTCATTATACCGTGGGGTTTTTTTCACTTGATTATTTTGTGTATAATGTACTTCTAAGAAATATTTTCCCTCTCCCCTCTGTCATTCTATATCAATCCTTCCAAGTTTGGCTTCAAATCCATTCCCAGTTAACAGTGATATTTCATCACATCTGAGCCTAACTGTTATTGTAGATTAATCTTTTATTCCTACTCTGACATTTAAGAGCTCCCAACAGGTACGTGTCTCAGTATACTCAGCATAAACACACATAGCTTTGCTTGTCTGTGGAAGGCACAGCAGGCACCATAGCTTATATGCGTGCGTTACCTGGGAAGGGACATTTTTGGGTGGCTCAATTCTAATGGAAGGGTCCCACTCCCCTGGAGGGAGCACCGTTACTTGGTCCAGGAACTCATCGATCCCTGCCAGAAGGTCATCTCGTTCCTTTGCCTTATATGCCACATCATGAAAAATCTACAGAAGGAAAAGAAAACTTAGGAAAACTCAAAACTATTTTATTTACAGCAACTTCTTATGAACAGTGAGAAAGGGGCACAGCCTCTTGACTTTTATCCCTGGCATGGGCATCTAAGACATAAAACTTAGTGCTTAGAGAAGTACATGGATTTTAAAAGAGAACCTAAAGCTGAGTATGGAGTCGTGTGTCTGTGAAGCCAAGCACACTGAAGGCTACGGCAGGAGGATCACCTCAGTTGGAAGGCCAAGCTGGGTTACAGAGTGAGACCATGTGTCAAAGAGATAAGACAGGACTCTAAAGTCATCCTATTATCTCCCCAGGAGAAAGAACAAGGCACACAGAAATTCTGTTAGCCATGTAGAAACTAGTCAGGCTTACTAATGAAGGTCTTTTGTGAAAGAATCAAAGAGATACAGATCATAAACTCAGCCCATGCTTCTCTGCCTTGGAAACCCACTGTAGAGCAGCCCTCACCAGGCCCAGAACGGGCAGATACTCCCCCATGACACTGCCTGAGGCATAAACTGACCTTACACAAAAAGCTCTCCTTTCCACAGAATGGAAGTATTCCTTTATGCAAATAACTTCAAAGTATTTATCTAACCATAGTTTCCAGAAAGTTAACTCAGGTTTCATGAGTTACATTAAATGTGAGTCTACACATTCTACTTGGCAACAGCAATTCTCCCAGAAAATGATTTCTCTGCATCTTTGATTACTTTAAAAAGGGAGTTAAATGGCTAATGAGGTACTTGCTTATAATCCCAGCACTGGGTGTGCAAGGCCAGCCTGGGCTACATGTTAAGAACCTGTCTATAAACAAATAAGAGATGTCAAGCAAGGAAAGTCTCCCAGAGGGCTTGGGTCTCTCTTGATTGACTCTCAAAAAAGTTCCCGAATGCTTCCCAGAAGACACTGTGACAGTCATTATTTCATCACCAACAACGCACACAGTTTCTGCAACAGAGTTAGCTGCTCAGTACTTATGAGATGAGTGAACGGAAGGCAGAAGCGGTATGTACCTCGTCCGTCATGATGGTGGCCATGGATCTGCCAATCTCATGGTACTGCTGGCCTTTTCCTACTGGACCCAGTAAGATAAACAAAAATCTGCCAAAACACACAAAAGAGGGAGTTATGTAGATAAAGACTCTAAATACCGAATCTCTCTCCCCCACTACCACACAGAGAGTGCCACTACCTTCAAGAAGAACATGTACAAATACTACATCACACTGCTATGGCCAAACAGCATTTGAATGTATTCATAAGACACCATTTGGCTGGGCAGTGGTGGCACACACCTTTAATCCCAGTACTCAGAAGGTAGAGGCAGGAGGATCTCTGTGAGTTCAAGGCCAGCCTGGTCTCCAGAGAGAGTTTCGAGACAGTCTCCAAAGCCACAGAGAAACCCTGTCTCAAAAAACAAAAAACAAACAAAAAAGACATCATTCAAATAATGGGGCAGGCTGGGTTTCTTGGAGTTACCATAGACACAATTCCTAACCATAGAAAGGATGTCTTTTCAAAACACTGCGTCATTGTGCAAATCCAAGGTTACCTAATTACCAGTCATTGTTCTAATAAGAAAATAATAGGGAAGGGAAGGATAAAAAGTAGAAATGACCCAAGCCATGGATGGGAGCTCAATTGTGTTCTGGACATCTGAGTCCTCTCTATAATTAGTGGGGCTCTGAGTCACCACGTCAGGGCACACAAATAGCCAAGTGCTTCTGCCTAGAGACAGCTCCCTGGGTACCGTTCTCTCCTGCTACGACAGTCACTGGTTCCCACTGTGCTCTTTCACTGTCCCCTGGGCTCCTTTTCCAAAACCAACAGTACTTCACGGTCACAGCCTTAAAAGTTACAATTCACACCCCGCCTCCCACCCCCGCCCCCCACGCACCCCACCACCCCACACCCAGCTCCTCCACCACCCTCGCTTTATAGCTCACCAAGGGATTTTAAACACTCTCCAGACAGCCAACCCTAACTTCTGGTGCTCACTAGGCGCTAGCACCAGTGCTCACACACATAGGCTCCGGGTAGGGTGCCCTGAGCTTTATCTTCCAGTTACCTTGTTGGGATGGGCACTTCCGTCAGACCCGAGAGGAGCACAGCCGGGGAGAGCCTCACAAAGGCGACGATGGGCCGGTCCAGAGCGTCCACCTCTCCAACCAGGACATTGGAGGCCTCTGCCCCAGTGGGGATTTTCTTCATGAAATGAAGGTCTACCTGAAAGTGTACAAGAGCCTCTGACAATTTAGGAGTCATCGGCTTCAGAGCCAATCACTCTCTTCACACCTTATGTTTTATGTATCACTCAAGGTTTTAAAAAAAAGGCTTATCACTGTTTTATTTGTTCTTTTACAAAAACCCTGAATGGAGGTATCTTAGATCATATCAGCCCCACTATTTAAAAACAAAGGCAGAAAAAAGCGATTAAGATGCAGGGAGAGAAAGCTGACTAGAACTACGGAACTTAGAACACATGTTTATTTGTAATTTATATCACATATAAATTATAATTTGGTATGTGTGTGCATGCATGTGTGTACTGTGTGTGTGCATGGGTGTGTGCTGCGTGTTACACGTGTGTGTACGTATGCGGCAGCCATGTTTGGAAGTCAAAGAGCACCTTGTGAGAATCAGTTCCTGCTTGCACTGTGTGGGTTTCCAGATGGAATTCAGATTGTTAGGCAGCAACACCTTAATCCACTAAGCCACCTCAAAAATCAAAGTTTAAATCCAAGAACTCTGATCTGAATCCCAACCCACATGCTCCTCAGAGAGGAGATGCCCCAGAAGTTCTGGGTCACGTTACTTCTCTTTTCTAGTACCTGGCTGCTTCACCATATACAGCAGTCACAGCCCCCAAGAAGAGTCCAAAACATAGGCGCCCTGGGAGGCAGCTGCAAAATCCTGTGTGACAGCTTGAAGATGAGAAGGAACTGCGGGGCGTCAGATACCAAAAAGTAACTAGTGAATTGGGGGACCTGGGTCGGCGAAGCCTCGGTAGCAGTCTGTCCTTGCTGTGCTGAGTCTGGAAAGACACACTGAGGAGTCAGCCTCACCCCGGGCCAGATGTGCGAATGGAGAAGACTAAGAAGATGGGCATCCCTTTCCTCAGAAGCAGCGCTGGTCTTGGGGAAAGGATCATGAAACGTCAGGGCTTACCAGATCCCAGAAAGAGTCCAGAACACTCTGGGCTCCACTACAGATAACCTTAGGCCTGGAAGTCAACTTGCCCTGTCTCCCTCACCTTGCTTAGATCCACAGGACTGTGTTCACAATTCACTCCATTTTTCACCTCAAGGTTCGTCGCTGGGGCAGACTGAGGAGAAACAGTCTGACCTGTTTGGAGAAAGTCAAACAGAATGGGCTAAGGGCTTGCCCCTCCCCTGAGGCTGGCAGGACTATGAAGCAGGATCCACTCGCATCTGTCTCCACACTCAGTGGTAAGAGGAAGGCAGAGGCCCTGGTCCTCCTTCACCTTCCTCTCTTCCCCGCTCTGGAGGCAGTGACCCCTAACCCCAGTGAACGAAGACCTCTACAGAGAGCTTGCCACGGTTTGCTAGCAAAGGTCTGCACTCTGATTTAGTAATGATATGGACGAGACCAAGCCCAGCCACAGGAAGAGCAGCAATTACAGAGGAAAGGCTTTGCGGCCCACATGGCCTGGGCACGGGCTTTGGACATAGTTAACTCTCAGACACCCCGTAATGAAAGGAAGGAAGATCCTGTCACTGTCTTTATTTAAGTGAGGGGTGAAGTGCTTCCATAGACTGTCCAGGGCTCTCTCTAGGTAGTGGACCAAAAGCACAAACAACCCTGGAGGCCCGACCACACCGTGGTATTCTGTGTCTAAGCAAAGGCTCCTGTTTAGCTGGAAAAGGCTGCAGCTTACCTTCCCTGCACCCAGATAGTCACCAGTGTGGACATTCTCCCCAAAGCCACACCCTCTCTGGGAGCATGCCGAGAATACATCCTTCACTTTGAAGATCTACTTGGATTGCTTTCCAGGAGCACAAGGCAGAGACGTTTGTGTTTCCCAGCTACCTGGCTTACTACCCATCTACCCGTTGAAGAGTTCGGGATCCACATGTCACAGCCTCTACCCCTAGTGATTCCGCATCTCCAACCAGTCCCCAAGTGTGTTCTTGATTAAAGAGAGACAACAGAGACGCGCAAGTCCTTACCATCTTTATCCATGGAATGCGGGTCCGATTGCTTCTTGCCAACCTCGGCAAAGGAGCGGACGATGGGGATCAGGTTGTTTCTCCGCCTCTCGTTCTGATGGTGGTGTTTCTTGAGAAGGGTTTCCCGCACTTTAGCCCTCATACCGTCATCCAGGTCACTGAACAGTTCTTGCTGGTCCAGTATCAGGTCTAGAAAGCAGACGTTCACAGCAACACTCAGAGTTCAGGAGCCCAGGGGGAACGGTATCAGGTGGCTGGGGAAGGGGCAAAAGGCAGAGGCAAGCTGCTCACCTAGGCTCACCAAGGTGATTTCTGCTTCCTGTCTGAAGAGCATTTGGTTTCTGAGGCTGTGAAACACTGTCCGTCTTTATTTAATAGAGGACACATCATTTAGAGATGTCACTGTGCCATGTAGGCTGGTCATGAATTCCTGGGCTTATGTGACCCTTCTCAAAAGTGGGGCTTATAGGAGCTGGAGAGATGGCCCCATGGATAAGAATACTGGCTGCTCCTACAGAGAACCTGGGCTCGATTCCCAGCACCCACATGGTGGTTCCTAACCCTCTGTAATTCCAGTCCTAGGTGACCCAACACCCTCTCACAGCCCCCAAGAACACTGGGCATGCACACACATGCAATCAAAGCACTCATACATATAAAATAAAATTAATTAATTAAAACATTTTAAGGTAGGATCTACATGGTGACACATGTCATTATGCTTAGCTCCAAATCATTGCTTTGGGAAACAAAGCCTATTAAGTATTTAATACATACCCAGAACTATACCATGAGCTTCACATCTGTCTAATACATACCCAGACCTACACCATGAGCTGCACATCTGTTTAATAAACCCAAACCTACACCATGTGCTTTAGAGCTGTTACCTATCCAGTCCTCACTAGAACTCAAAAAGCGAGTATTTTTATGATAATTCATTTTTAAATTCTATTTTTAAATGTACTTATTTTTATCTTTAGTTATGTGTTTGTGTGCCACATGTGTGCAGGTGCCCATGGAGACTGGAAGAGAGTATCAGGTCCCCTGGAGCTGGAGTTACAAGTGGCCATGAGCCACACAATTTGGTTCTGAGAACCAAACCTGAGTCTTCTGGAAACGCACCAAATGCTCTTAACTCTGAGTTAGTGTGTTCTTCCAAATAAGGAAACCAAGGGACAATTGTTAAAAAGTCCCCAGACTCTCACATCTGCTAAGCCAAAGAGCAAGAGTTCATATCCAGAACTGGCTGCCTCAAAAGCCCACCACTACCATCTTAATTCTACTACCCCTTCCTCCAAGAACTTGGCATTGCTCTAACTGTCAGGGATGTGGCAACTAGGAGCTCCAGTGATGACCTGAAAGTGGAGCCTAAAAGAAAAATCAAATTGGGGCTGGAGAGATGGCCCAGTGGTTACGTGCATGGGCTGCTCTTCCACAGAACATGCTTGCAGGCAAAACACGAATACAAAATGAAATAGTAAGTTTAAAAAGATATTATTTAAATTAATGAACTGCTCACTGGAGACAATTACCAGCATTTAAACTACCAAGCCCAACTGTGGGGGGTGAGGGCTACTTATTGGTTCTGTCATCAGGACTCTAGATGAATGTCTAGAGCATCAGGCCCTACACTTCATTCCTAGTTCCACTATTCCTGACCCATCTGACCTTGGAATTACATGACCACTCTCTACTCAGTCTCCTCATCTTCTGAGAGGCCCAGCGCCAAAGCCCACGCCCACCGGGAAGACTGTTACTGAGCACCGCAGTAGCTGCCTTTGAGCAGCTGGTCCTCCTGTCTGTATTTCCTAAGTGCTGAGATTACATGGGGGAACCAAGTTCCTGCATATGAAACCTTTGTAATAATTATTTCTTCCCTCACATTACACTCATGCTTTAGAATTCTTCATCTTGAAAGGGAAAAAAAATCCACCCAAGGCCCCTCTTCTATCTACTGTTTTTAACTTTTCTCATCCCACTTAAAATTCCCAAAAGAAAAAAATCATAATTCAAGAATCCCAGCTGGGAGCCGAAGGACCACAGAACACCGTTTCTGCCTTGGGCCTTCAGGAACACAGCCCTACCTGTAACTCACTTCACATTTCTAACTCCCAAACTTATTGTTTGGTTGGCTTTATTTTGAGATGATATTTTACTACAAGCCCAGGCTGGTTTTGAACTTGATCTACTTGCCTTAACCTTTAAGTACTAGGATTACAGACATGAGCCACCACCTATGTGGAAATGTGTCACAGTGGTCCTAATAGGCTAACACTGATTTGGTGGCTGTTACCTGTTTGTCCTCTCACCATTCTAAGCACTCCTGAGCCTCAGTCCCCAAGGGTGACACTCTGCCCCTGCAGCCAACATTACACACTGGACTCCCAACCCCCATTTCTACCCTCAGTATCCAACTGCCCTTGAGACTGTGAGCACAAAATGCCCAATGAGCTGATGGCCCAGAATACATTTCAGTTCAGGTCTATCTCAAGAGTCACATCAAAGCTCTGGTCACCTACAGCCATCATCTGGATGTCCCCATACCCTAAAACTTACCAAGCACAGAAAAGAAACCCATCCTCTTTCCCACCCACCAGATCTGATTTTCTAGTCATCCAGCCATAAGCCAGAATCCTGAACACTCTCCCGTTTTTGCCCAAAACCAGCCCATCAAATTGTTCCATCAATGCTACCTCCACTGCTGCACTGCCCATTGAAGGGACACTGGCCCACTGGAGCACGTAACTCTGGCTGGCCTTTCCCTTCTCCTCCATGCCCTCTGCCTTGCTAAAAACCATTAGATGTCATTCCTAAAGCTAACTGCCAAGGTCTCTTCCCTTATTTGGTCAATCCCTCCCAGAGGCTCAAGTGCGGGAATGCTATGCATATCTGTTCTAGATGACATATTTTATACTTTTACATCTTTAGTTTTCTTTTTAAAGTTATTATTGTTGGTGTTGCAATTACTAGTGTGCATGTGTGTGTGTGATGAAGGTATGTCGTGCTGGTGGAGGACAGAGGGACTTTCATAGGTCAGTCCTTCCATCGTGGGCTCCTGGGGTGGGACTCAGGTTGCCCAGCTTGCACAGCAAACAAGCGCCTGAGTCATGTCAACAGCCTTTTCGTTTTCTTTCTTTCTGGCTTTGCTGTTCTGTTTTGCTTAAGAGAAAGAATCACTGTATAGTGTACCAGAATTCTTGCCGCTCATACTTTCGAGTTTACACAGTGTCTCTGCCCTCCCTTTAGCCTTACCTGAAATTTCTTCTATGCTGCTTGCGCGCATGTCCAGAAGGACAGTGCCATTGATGAGGCAGCTCCTTAGCTCAAACAGACTGTGCAGAGAAAGAGTTGCCACGTAAGGCTTGCTCCAGCGCTCTCCCCCATCTTCAACGTCCTCTTCAAACTTCAGCCACCTGCAAACACGGCCAACAGTGAGATGCCACTGAGAGAAGATGGGTTTATCAGGAGGGAAAAATATCTGAGTGGCCATAGAAAAGACTGCAATGCCTGGCCTGATGTCCACACACAGAAGAACTGGAAAAAGCAAGTGGTAGCACAGTGCAAACCTACCCACCCGCTCCCCCGACTTTTTTTTTTACTTATTTATTTATTTATGTATTTATTCATTTTGGTTTCTCTTGTGTAACAGCCCTGGCTGTCCTGGAAGTCTCTCTGGAGACCAGGCTGGCCTTGAACTCATAGAGATCCGCCTGTCTCTGCCTCCCAAGTGCTGGGATTAAAGGCTTATGCCACCAATACTCAGTCCTAATCCCATTTTATTCAAAGATAAATCTAATATTACAGACACATGTAGGTACAAGACCCCAGACATATTCCTTGTTTTATCCTTGGGACAATAGGATAGAAAGTCACTGTCATTTTCTCCCCTTTGCTTATCTTTATTTTTTCAATTGTCTATAGTAAGCATGACTTTTAAAAATCTAATCTGTATCATTTGGACACACTGACAAACCACATTAATGAGACAGTTACATTTTTATCGGTTCTTGGAATGACTGTAGAAATCCACAAGGACAGAGACACAAAAGACTAACTGCCTTTTCACTTGGCACCAGGCCAGCTGGCCCACGGAAAATGTCCATCCACAGTAGTGCACGCATCGACGCCACATCATTGTGAGCTGGGGCCAGGCTTCCTAGCTACCACTTCATCCATGAAGAGACAAAGGGCAAGCAGGCCCGCCACTTGCTGAGAGGTAGACATCTGTCTGCCCGTGCCCAGAGCTCCTGACCTGAGTTCTGTTGGGGGCTCACCTGGCTGTCTCCTTCCATTCAGCGTCCTCGCCCTCTCTCAGACAGATCTCATCCAGCTCTGTGAACAGCTCATGAGGCACGTGCTCCTCATCTTCCTCGGTGCCAAGAATGAACTGAACACGCTGAGATGGGGTGTCTAGAAAACCAACCAGGGAAAGGTCTGGATGTATATCTATCCTCCAAGTCAGAACAAAAATAGCTTCTGCCTAACAGCTCTGGGAATATATAGAAGATGTCCTGAATATAGATTTTAAAGTTCCTTTGTTCTTGGAGAAAAGGCTATTCTGTGGAAGCAGTTAAGCAAGAAGACAGACCACTTTCAGAAGTCCCGTGAGAACCTAGAAGTCAGGACTGGAGAGACGGCTCAGCAGTTGGAGCACTGGCTGCTTTTCTGGAGGACCTGGGTTCAGTTCCCAGCACCCACATGGCAGCTCACAACTGTTTAACTCCAGTTCCAGTGATCTGACCCCTTCTTCTGGCCTGCAAGGGCACCAGGCAAGCATGTGGCATACAAACATACATGCAGGCAAAACACCCAAACACATAAAAATGGGTTTTTTCATTTTCTAGAGATCTGACAATTTTTTTTTAAATAGCAAAGGATTACTTATAGTGCTGATTGAGGCGTTGAAATGCCAATTTCAGGAAGTAATTTTTAATTCTTAGAAGCATTCCTTCCTCTTGGGAGCCCTAGCCAAGGGCTAGAGAATCAAGACCACCTGCCTGTGCCTCCTGTATTTCCATGAATCACCACACCACCCTACCATGGGCACTGGCCCTCTCTCCCCAGAGTGTTAACCCCTCACTCCCCGGGCAATACCCTTTCTCCCCAGAGTGTTTCCCCCTTTCCCAGGGTCTTACCATGGGCGGAGGCTTCCAGACCCTCTTCGCCCTGGCTGGCTCCTTTGCCCCGCCCTCCTCGTCTCCGATGCTTCTGGCCATGAGTGCGGTGGTGCCGATGGCTCTGCCTGCCCAGTGGCATCCGGACCCCCACATACAGAGTTCTGTGACCTGGATGGGAGAAGAAAGCCTATAGAAAGAACTCCTTTGACAAAAGGAGTCTAGCATAATTCATAGCAAAAACATCACAGGTTTTGTACCAGGTACTTCTGGAATGATTAGACTTTACAGACTCCAGGACTGAAGACAGCAGTCAAAGAGTTGACAGTGTCTTCCTCTGTCCTGCACATGGCTGTACACCTCACAAGGATGTTGTGACAATCAAATGAAAGAACGTGTGCTTCATTATGTACATTAGCTGTGAGAGAGAGGGTGTGTGGCTGGGAGGCGTGTGAAGGGTGTAGCAGGTCACATATTAGAACATGGGAAGGTAGCTCAGCCACAGAACCCGGCATGTGCTAGGCTCTGGGAGGCAGGGTAGAGGGAGGAGGGAGAGGGATGATGGAGAGAGGGAAGGAAGAGGGAGGGGAATATGACTTACAAAGTATGAAGAGATGCTACTTTTTGCTATTACACCAACAATGTGAGTGATTTTAGAGGCGATTCCCGTATGGTGACCGGCAGGTTTAGGAACAGAGGTGGTTAAGCACAGTCAAGGCCCCAGTCAGCCCATCTATACAGAGGTGGTTAAGCACAGTCAAGGCCCCAGTCAGCCCGTCTATACTTTGGCACTAGGTGTCTGAGCATGAGCAAGCCATCCAGGCTCTCCTGATTCATCTTTTAAAAAGAACACAGATGCTTTTTTTTTTTTTTTAATTCATGGCGTTATCAAGAGCAGCAAATAAGGCATGGAAAATGCGCAAGGCCATGCCTGGAACTGTGGACCACACCACCTAGACTACTGCAGACAGGCCTTCTAAATCAGGAGTGAGGCTTAGAGGCGTGAAAGACGGTCACAGCCTCTCTTGCCCTCCTGCTCCCCGCTCCTCCCACACACCCTATGGTTTTCATCCTCCACCCGACTCCTTGCCAAGCCTGGAACTCAGAACCAGAAGTTCCAGGCAGTTCCCAAACCGGATACTCTCAGTCTCGCTGTGCCCATTTGCCCGATTCCCGTGGCTCTGCACACCAGATCCTCGCTGCACGCACTCTGTCCCCACCGCTCTTGGCATTCATCTTCAGCGGGTGTCGGAATTCTCCCCATCCCTTTGACCTCCTGCTTCTCGCCTTACTGAGAAGGCGCAGCCCCTTCCATGGCAACCCCTTCAGTCAGTCTGGCTCCTCTCTGCCAGGCTCTGGAGCAGTCCATGCCATGCCTCCCACTCCCCGGCACAAGCTCTGCTCACTCTCTCCTCTCCATCCGGTTGTCCACGGCTGACCTGAGGAGATTTCTGCCCGACTGCTGCTCCTACGTTTCCCCCCTCCTTCCTTCTCCACCAAGAGTCATGACTGGCCTCCTCCTCCTCCTCCTCCCCCTCCTCCTCCTCGCCTTCCTCCTCCTCCTCGCCTTCCTCCTCCTCCTCGCCTTCCTCCTCTTCCTCTTCCTCCTCCTTCTCTTCCCCTTCTTCCTCCTCCTCCTCCTCCTCCCTCCTCCTCCTCCCCCTTCCTCCTCCTCCTCACTTTCCTCTTCTTCCTCTTCTTCCTCCTCTTCTTCTTCCTCCTCCTTCTCCTCCCCTTCTTCCTCCTCCTCCTCCTCCCCCTCCTCCTCCTTCCCCTCCTCCCCCTCATCTTCCCCTTCCTCCTCCTCCTCCCCTTCCTCCTCCTCCTCCCCTTCCTCCTCCTCCTCCTCTTCCTTCTCCTTCTCCTCCCCCTCCTCCCCCTCCTCCTCTTCCTCCTCCTCCTCCCCTTCCTCCTCCTCCTCCTCCTCCCCCCCAAGCTCTTGCTCCGGGCCTCTGACTGTGGCTTCTGTCCCTGCCCGTTACTAAAGCTGTCCACAGTAAAGCCATCAGATGGTACTTAGTCACCAGAGCTGTCACAGCACGTCTTCCGGTTCCACAGATGCTATGGAGAGCCGCATGCAGCCTGGGTCTCCAGACGCCCTTCTTACTTGGCGTTCTGAGTGCCTTCAGCCACCTCACACCTTCAGATGCCTCATACCCCAAGAGAAGGGCGATTCTCGACCCTTGTTCCCCCTCTCTTTTAGTGGTACCCATTCTTTGGATTTCAAGTTCACTTCTCCACACAGCCCCCCAGACCCCTGGTTTTTGTATGTCTCAGCTTGGCCTACCAGGCTGGCTCCGCACAGTTCTGCCTCAGCCTGGGATTACAGGTATATGGGATCACATAGTTTCAAATATTTATCTACAGCAGTGGTTTTCAACGGGGACCCTTTAGTACAGTTCCTCATGCTGTGGGGACCCCCAACCATAAAATTACTTTTGTTGCCATTTCATAACTCTAATTTTGCTACCATTATGAATCCTAATGTAAATATCTATGTTTTCTGATGGCCTTAGGTGACCCCTGTGAAAGAGTTGTTTGACTCCAAAAGGGGTCATGACCCATATTTTGAGAACCACTGACCTACTATGGTTAATACGCCTCAAAACAAATGTAAAATCCTCCACCTTTGAAAGTCAAGCTCACTGTGGGCGTGGTATCTCACACCTAGAATCCTAGCACACAGAAGGATGAAAAGGGTTGGCTGAAACTTGGAAGTCAATCTGGGGAACATAGTAAGTTTGAGACCACTCTAGACAATAGTGAGGCCCTGTTGCAAAAAAGAAAAGAAAAGAAAAGAAAACAAAAGAAAGAAAGAAAGAAAAGAAAAGAGCCTAAGAATGAGATGAGATTCCATGTTAATGTCTATAGCACACCGCTGTGTAAATTCCTTGGTGGCTGGGAGGCAGAGGATTCCTGTGAGTTCGAGGCCAGCCTGGTCTACAGAGTGAGTTCCAGGACGGCCTCCAAAACAATACAGAGAAACCCTGTCTCGAAAAAACAAAATAAATAAATAAAAAATAAGTAACTCTCCTAGGAGTTACCTTTGATTGCCAGCCCCACCCTCTGCCATCAGAGATGCCAAGCCTTTCGCTGCTTCTGCTCTGACAAAGCAGGGTCTCCTTCCTGCCTCTCGTACTAACTGAACGATACAGAGTCATCCTCCTGGTTACAGACACCATAGGTCATCCTATGTGTCCAGGCCCCCTGTGCTCAGTGCTCAGCTCTTCTCTGGGTGTTCCTTCCTTTGGGACAAGTTTACATATTCAACATGGAAATAAACAATCCCTACTAGAACCAGATGATCAGCTCAAGAGAACTAAAGGGGTATCCCTCCATGCTGGCACAGAACACACACACACACACACACACACACACACACACACACACACACACACACTGAGAGCAACTGTGAATGAGAGACAGTAATTCTCTTTGGAGCACAGGTACGAGCCACCCACACAGAGGGGCTGCAGATATACTGCTGCCACTGGTGCTGTTTACCAAGGGCTCACATGCAGCTCATTAGTGAGGACTAATGGATACTCTGCTCCTTTGGGTATACAGGGTGACTCAAAGTCTGTAACCACAGGGGAAGTTCTACATGTGGAACACACACAAGCCTCCTTAGTTACAAATATGACCAAGTGGGTCCAGCCTTTGTTAAAGTGTGCCAGAGTGCATTAAGCTGACATCAAAGTCATAAATATAGGACTTAATCAGGAGTAATGATCTGCCAGAAAAAATGGGAAAAGCCATTCCTCTAACTAACATACATGCCCTGTGCTCCACAGGGGCCGAGGGGGCCACTGAGATTCCCTGTGGACTGTCACTCAGTTGTCTTCTGAAGCTGCTCAGTTGTTTCTGACCCTTCTCTAATGGGTAGAATCAGCTCATTCAAAAAACATTTTCCATCATAAACAAGGTCTCTGAAGATGGTGTTAGGGAACATGGGTAGAGCATCCAAAATACAGTCAAAGGAGCCAGGTGTTGTTGGCGCAGGTCTTTAATCCCAGCAGAGGCAGACGGATCTCTGCGAGTTTGAGGCCAGCCTGGTCTACAGAGCGAGTTCCAGGACAGCCTCCAAAGCTACAAAGAAACCCTGTCTCGGAGAAAATAGAAAAAAAAAAAGAGAAAGAAAGAAATACAGTCAAAGGAAGAGACAGCATTGCATTACTGAATGAGAAAACAATTTATGGCATCTTCCATTAAAGTGGGGCTGCTTTTTCTCTCTGTGTCTTTAGGTGACGCCACTAGCCTGCATGAAGCTTCATCAAGGGTCAGGGCCATACACTTTGTAATCTATTCCACCTGGTCATGAGTTTTGGAGAGCCCAGAATTTCTATTGCCTTTTAGATGTCAGCTGATTGCTGCCGGCCTAGGTGGGGGAATGGTTCCTCTTCTAAATAACAATATCCTACACTCACCCTGAAGGCTAGTGAGACGTGCTGGTGTGGGGTGCCTGAGGGCCTGAGTACGTGCAGCAAAGGAGGACTCTGGGATTAAGGGAAATATCTGCTATCAGCCTTTTGTTTTATTTTGGTTTGGTTTGGTTTTTTTGAGACAGGGTTTCTCTGTATTGTTTTGGAGGCTGTCCTGGAACTCACTCTGTAGACCAGGCTGGCCTCAGACTCACAGAGATCCGCCTGCCTCTGCCTCCCGAGTGCTGGGATTAAAGGGGTGTGCCACCACCATGGCCAGGCCGCTATCAGCCTTTCATATGTGATAATGGATGTCTTCTGCCATTGCCCCCCCCCTTTGGATGGTTACTTAAGATAACACATCAATAGACTGTGGCCTTCAGTATTAACTGATTGCCCTCCTGATATGACCAGGTGTCTCTGTCTTGTCTTTAACATCTTGGATATTTAGCTTTCCTGCATCCACACACCCCGATTCAGGGTCGGACTCGGGGTTGTTCGGCTGGTTCTGATCATAGCCCCTGAAGACATCAGTCTGTGATAAATGGCTCCCGAATGTGGACCATAATAATCAAGTTCTGTGATTACACTGAAGCGAGTAAGTCTGTGTGGAACCCACAGCAGAGCCAAGCCCACAGCAGCACACCCCACTTCCTCTCCTCTTCTCGGGCTCTGCTCTGCTCTTGAGACATTTCAGGGCCATTAGGCCTCCATTGCCTGTAGGGCTAACAGAAGAGACTCCAGTGTTCAGAAAGATCTTGTCATAAAAAGTCATTTCCCAGCACAGTGTCCTCCAGCAATGTGTCATCCCACAGTTTTCTTTCCCAGCAGAGTGGAGTCTGTACCAGGAAGAGATGATGTCATCGGGAGATGCTGCTCCCAACAGCTCCTCAGCTGAGCTCAGTAGATGAGACTTGGCCCTCAAAATCCAAGAGAGCTTGCCCGGGTTCATTACTCCATTCCCAAGTGCACAAAAATACTCATGGGGCTGGAGAGATGGCTCAATGGTTATGAACACTGACTGCTCTTGCAGAGGACCTGGGTTCAATTCTCAGCATCCATATGTTGGCTCACAACTGTCTATAGCTCCAATTCCAGGGGACCTGACATCCTTACACAGACATACATGCAGGCAAAACACCAACACACATAAAATAAAAAGTAAATTAAAGTACAAAAATACTCATATATATTCACCTCTCAGTGGAGGACTACGGTCCACAGGGTGATTGCCAGAGGACAATGCATCTACGAGCAATGCCCCTCCAGGTGATGGGACAGCATGAAGATATGTCAGCATGATGAAGCAAGTACCAGGGGGTGAGGTTATACCTGCCCACCTCGAAGTACAGGGGGGAAAAGAGAGGGTTTCCACCCCAGTCTCTGCTATCATCAAGTTAGTTCCTACAACTAAAGAGGGTAACGGCACCAACATGTGTCTGGGGTACTGTGAGGGCTAAAGTTATATTTTAAGCTTAAATTACTGTGTTCAAGAGATCTATAAATGCCTTTAACCTGTAAGCCCCACTTGCCCAAGGACAGAGAACTTCCTGGAATGCTGGGGCAGTAGTTCATGTAAGATAGCAAGCCACGTGTTTTTGCTTCTCTAAACAAGGTTGGTTGTCCCAGCTACATAGGAAGTGCTTGATCACATGCAGGCCGGAGGTAGGCAGACAGGAAGTACATCAGGATATATGCTTGCCTCTGATTGGATGGAGGCAGGAAATACATCAGCCCCTGACTAGTATACCATAGCACCATACTCTGGGAATCCTGGGAATTTACATGGCCAGTGTCCATCGTCCTGGCCAGTATTTAATAAAGTTTGCTTCAAATTTACCTTGGGAATTGTGGTAGTCATTATGGTAAAAGCTTTGCCCCAGCCCCTGGCATCCATATACCCAAAGAGTCTGGAATGTTACGGTGAAGGTTCCACCCAAACCCCTCTCCCCCATCTCCCTCCAAACCCTGCTGCATCTCAGAAAGCCTGCCAAATGATGGCCCCTCCCCCAGAGATACTCAAGACCACTCCCACAGGGTATTTGAACTGTCTCCCAGAAAACAGACTTGTGGTTTTTCTGGTCTCTCTTTCCTGTCTCCTTGCTAGTGGGCTGGAAGGCTACCTGGGAGCGCTGTATCCATTAAACGTGGGCTTTTTCTAATTTGGTTTGATTTGGTCTGATTTGGATTGCTGCATCAGTGGAGAGGCTTATCAGGGTGTAGAAACTTTTCATCAGTGGTCTTATTCCCACTGGGGGGGGTAGCAGTACTATAGATGAAAGGGTAACTGCTTTGAAGTGCCTGATCCAATGCCTAACACACCAGAGGCCTCCCGCCAACACCATACTTCCCTGCTCCCACTTTCTCCCTGTCCCTTCATCCACTAGGACAAAATAACTTCGAGAACTTGACCTTGATTTACCCAAACAACACCAGCCTCTGCAGGGTCACCCATTGAAACACACACACACACACACACACACACACACACACACACACACACACACACAAATTTTCACAGTGACAGTCCCAGAGCCCGAATCAGCCTCCCCAGCTTTTCTTCACTCCCTGTCCAAAGAATAAGTTTTCTCTGGGGCCTGTACAAGTTTTCGTTAAAACCCTTGATGGGAACAAGCAGTACAGAGAAATGCGTCCCATATTGTCTGAGCATCAGAAGGTTGCTGTCCCTTCGGCACAAAGGGGAAGCGGCAGCCATCTCACACAGGAGGTAAACATGGCTCCTTGTTAAGGCTGCACTGGACACGAGCCTTCATCCATAAAGGAATGTCACCCACAATGAGGAACCATGGTTGGGCAGGTGGACACAAGAATGGTTGACTCCTCCTGCCTCCATTTCACTGGGATTTTTACATAACTGTGTGCTGTGAACTCTGAGTCTTTTGATGGTAGGTTGCTATATACCTTTCCTTGTTTAGATTTTTTGTTTGTTTTGTTTTTCAAGACAGGGCTTCTCTGTGGCTTTGGAGCCCATCCCGGAACTCGCTCTGTAGATCAGACTGGTCTTGAACTCACAGAGATCTGCCTGCCTCTGCCTCCCGAGTGCTGGGATTAAACGTGTGCCTCCATCACTGCCTGGCTTAGATTTTTTTTTAATCTGATAGAAATGGGCACAATTAAAAAATGAAGAGCCAATAGGGGAAATGTGGTTTTAAAAGAGGTTTTACAGCCAAACTGAACTTTTAAACTACTGATATTTTATTTTCTTTGAATGAAGGTATGAAGAATCAGTGAACTAAGTGAGCGTTTCACACTCTCCGAGAAAAGGCTATGGGTTATTTGCTATTGTTAATGTTATCTTGAGCTTCCCAGAGCTCTAGGTGCTGTGCCTCGTGCTGCCTGTGGGCCCCATGAGAAGCCTGCCAGGCAGGGGTTACTGTTACCTCTGCTCTAGTTTCAAGACAGGGACCAAGAGGCAAAGGAAGTCATGTGTTTTCCCCACAGGGTCTCCCAGCCATGGAGAAAGCGTCAAATGTGAACCCAGGTCTTGCTTTTTCCAAGCCAGACAACCTCTGCTTTCCCTGGTCACATGAGACAGACATTTCTTACCTTCCAACTCTTCCTTCTCATAGTGGATGTTGAGGACGGTGCTGGTACCACCCTGATCCACCACAGCTTCCTCATCCGGTCTCTGTTTAAAACAGATATGCAAATAGTCACAGAACTACACAAATATTCATTCATTCAATGCAAATAGTTACAAAAATGCATGCATGTTTATTCATCCAAATACTTAAAACCACAGTGCACACCAAGACTGCTGAGATACCTGGAGGGGGAAAATGGTGATTTACATAGATTTTTAAGTTGGAACCTCACAATAACCTTGAGATAAAAAATATGGCAGCCATTCTCTTTCCCTTTCTGTGCCCCGCGGTCACAGATGTGGAAGAGAAGAGTTAAGACTGAGTATAGTGAGTACTCTCGTGAACATCCATACAGTGAGTGCTCACACGAATGTCCACGCAATGAGTGCTCAGTAAGTCTTTCTTTTTTATTTCATTCCACGTGCATTGGTGTTTTGTCTGCATTCATGCCTGTGTGAAGGTGTCAGGTCCCCTGGATCTGTAGTTACAGAAGCTGTGAGCTGCCGTGTGGGTCCTAGGAATTGTGCCTGGGTCCCATGAAGAACAGCCAGTGCTCTTAACTGCTATGCCATCTCTCCAGCCATCAGGTCTTTCCTAAAAGAATGCTGTGGTCACAGTGCCCTCCTTCCTGAGAAGGCATCCATTTACTAAGACACTTAACTGATACTCTGGCACCGGCCTTTCCTTTCCTTTGGCTCTGACACAGGCACCCTGGGCACCTCTCACCTCCATGTGGGCCTGTGCACACTGTCAGACTCTGGGCTTCCCCCCACGCTCTGCAGCACAGGGGCCCCTCTACTGCTCCGATCTCTCTCCCAAGTCCCCACTTCATCATGCTCATCTGTGCACCCCCAACACAACGCTGAACACAGACAATCTAGTTCCCCAATGAGGAGACATTTTTTTAAATTTTTTTAAATTTAAATTAGAAACAAGAATGCTTCACATGTCAATCCCTGCTCCGTTTCCCACCCCTCCTCCCTTGTCCCTCCACCAGTCCCTCCAACCCCCCACCCAATCCCCACATCATTCCCCAACGAGGGTAAGGCCTCCAAAGTCTGTCATTTCATCCAGGGCAGGACCTAGGCCCTTCCCCATGTGTCCAGGCTGAGAGAGCATCCCTCTATTTGGAATGGGCTCCCAAAGATCATTCATAAACCATGGTAAACACTGATCTACTACCCAAGGCCCCAGTGATTTCTGTGGCCTCCTCACTGAGACTACATTCATGGAGTCTGGATCAGTCTCCTGTTGGCCTCTCAGGCATAAGTCTGGGATTCAAGAGCTCCCCCTTATCTGGTCAGCTGTCTTTGTGGGTTTCACCATCATGGTCTTGACCCCTTTGCTCATCACTCCGAGGAGACATTTTTAATGAGGTTAATAACTAAAATAAATTCTTAGAGAAATAGAATGTCAAATGTCACCTAGAGTGATTAATTTGATAATTTACCTTTTAGATATTTAAAATAACATATTATTACTACCATGAAAAAAATCTCCAAGAGAGAAAATAAAGTTTTAAAAATGAAGTAAAAAAAAAAGCTGTGATTTGCTACATTTTCACAAAGAAAAGGGAGTTGGAACATAAATGCCTGGTTACACTTTAGAGTAAAGGGGTCTGGAGAGACAGCCCAGTGATTAAGAGTTCCATTCCCAGCACCCACCTGACAGCTTCCAACCACCTAAAAACTCCAGTTCCAGGGAATCTAATGCCCTCTTCTGGCCTCCAAGGGCACTGCATGTACATGGTGCACAGACATACATGCAGGCAACACCCAGGCACATAGATAAAATATTTTTTAAAAAATTAAAAAGAAAGAATAGCTACAAACAATTGATTTTTTAATGATTTATTTTTTAATTTTATGTACATTGGTATTTCACCTACATGTATGTCTGTGTGAGGGTGTCAAATCCCTTTTTAAACAGAGGAAAAAAAGAATAAGACAGCCGGGCGTTGGTGGCGCACACCTTTAATCCCAGCACTCGGAGGTCAGAGGCAGGCGGATCTCTGTGAGTTCGAGGCCAGCCTGGTCTACAGAGCGAGTTCCAGGACAGCCTCCAAAACAATACAGAGAAACCCTTTCTCCAAAAACCATAAAAAAAACACCTTCAACATTAACACACACACACACACACACACACACACACACACACACACACATATATATATATATATATATATATATATATAAAGTAAAGTCAACTGTTTGAAAACTTCAAGTTTCCTTAACTTGCTTATCCACAGCTGAGTTCACTGACAGGTCATCAGTCCTCTTTGTCTTACCAAAGGAAACAGCCACTGTCAGCCAACAGCAGCAGCTAGAACACTATAAAAGCCACACTGGAATTAATGTGGGGTCCTGGCTTACATAAACTAATGCTTCAAAAAGAAAAGAAGAAATAATTATAAGTAATTCACAGAAACTTAAACAGAATGGGTATTTGATTGTATTCCTTTATTTATATATATATTTTTTTTTTTTGAGACAGAATATCTCTATGTAGACCAGGGTAGCCTTGAACTCAAAGAGATGTGCCTACCTCTCAGTTACTTTTTAAGATATGGTAATAATCTTGTGATGTGGCATCAGTACATTTTAAAAAGTCCTTCAGCTGGAATTTGAGACTGGAGGGAGGCATAGAGGAAACGAGATGTGCGTTCATTGTTGATGCAAGTCATTGGTACTTAATGATTCACTATGCAAATATCTCTCATTTGATATACACTTGAGATGTTCCCCAAATTTCAAGCACATGCCAAATTTGTCTGAAACTGTCAAACTGAAAAGAGAGAAATATCAGGCCTCTTGGTTATGCTTGCACAGGTGACACAATGGTTGGCTCTATCTGCGTCTGCTACAGATACTGTTCACAGTAAGCCAGATTTACCAATGTGGGGTCCATGAACCTGTAGGATGTCTACAGAGGAAGGGGGCAATATGTGCGTATATATTTGGTGGTGTGGGGCCCTGGCCACCCACAACTTCTACCAGAAAGATTAGATTCACAAGAGGTACATCAGACAACCTTAAGAGAAAGAGGGAGGGAAAGAGGGAAGTAGTGAATTGAGAAAAAAAATCTTCCTTTCAAGTAATCATCTTTTCTATCCTTCTTCTGAGGCATTCATTGATGATGAATTAATCCTGGATCAGAGGGTCCCAGGACTAGCTAACAATTTACACTGGGAGGCTGAAGAGAGCTCGCTGCCAAGCACTGACTGCTCTTGCAGAGGACCAGAGTTTGGGTCCCAGCACCCACATGGGAGCTCACAACCACCAGTAACCCCAGCTCCAGAGGACCTGACACCCTCATCTGGCCTCCACAGTCATGTGTGCTCACAAGTGTGCACACACAAAAACAAACACACATACACATAGAAAAAAAATGAAAATAAACCGTTTTCATTAAATCATTGACATTGCATGGCTGGTCTTGAGAAATAAAGCACTATTATAATCCTTTAAAATGATCTTTTCCTGGGAAAAGCCCCCCAAAATAGTTATCCAACATGGAGTGGTCAGCCCTGGGAGCATGTACATACAGTTAACATGTGAACTGAGCAAGTTGTATTTATATACTTTGTGTGTGTATGTGTGTGTCTGTGTGTGTGTCTGTGTGTGTGTGTGTGTGTCTGTTAACAATAAAAGAAAATCAGGCCATGAATTTGAGAGAGTGAGAGAGCAAGATGGTGCATGAGAGGGGTTTGAGAAGGAAATATGATGGAACTGTATTATAACTTCAAAAACTAAAAAATTATTATTAAAGAAAATGAATGAAACTGGGCATGGTGATACATCTTTAATCCCAGCACTCAGGAGGTGGATCTCTGAGCTCAAGATCAACCTGGTCTTCAAACTGAGTTCCTGGACAGCCAAGGCTACACAGTGAGACCCTGTCTCAAAACAAACAAACAAAAAGAGTCAGATCTTGTTAAATCAAAGCCTTGCTTTCAGTAATGAACAAATAAAAAGACAGGAACAGAGCTGAGTATTACATAACGGCCCCAGCTCCTACACACAGCCAAGAAACTGCAGGGAGAATGAGTTGTAGGCAGAGGCCACTAGAGCCCCCTTCTTGACACACTGGCCCTGCTGTCCTACTCTGGACTTGTGGTGATGGCCCTGCCCAAATGAACCCCATCACCCTTCTGGTAAGAGCTTCTGAACTTTATCTCAAACACTTCTTCCACACACCCCAAAGCACCCCATGGAGTTAATTTTCTACATGCTATGCTCCCACTGGCCCCTACCCCACCCATCACCCCACCCAGAATAACATTGAAAGCATTAAGAGATCCCTTCCTGGGCGATAATGCAGAGTGAGATCCAGGTTTCCCAGGCAAGCACTCCCACAGAGGACACCCTCAGCCCTACCTCCTGGGTTTCTAGTCAACCAAAGATCTAGGCAGTAATTTCAATAAAGCGCTTATTTATGCCTACCATTTGTGCTCTAGATGTCACCTTACTTGTCTTCCACATGGTCCTAAATCAAGGTTAAGTAAGATCTCACAGGGGCAAAAAAGGGGTTAGAAGGCTCAAGTTTTGTTATTAATTATTTATTAATAGTACCCAAAGCAAAGAAAGTGGTCATTTTTGAGAACTCCAGAAATCTAATCATGGATTCATGCCCCCAATGAAAACAGCTCAACAGTCACACTGTCCCCCACGCCATCAGTGCCCCAGAACCTCACATATCCAAGTATCCTTTTGCTCAGCAGCCCTCCAGTTATTTTCCAGACCTGTATCTCATCCCTTTCCACCTGTCTCTTCACCCGACAGAACATCTGACGTCTAGCCCCTTGAAAGCCTTGTCTGACCCAGATCTCTACTTCTCTTGTAGAATGTCTAACTTTGACTTAGAACAAATGAAGCCAAAGATGTGATCTTTTTGGTGGCTTTTTGTAACTCAAGAGCTGTGCAGTTCTCAAGCATGAACTTTGTGGGTGACAATGTGTGGGTGCCACACGCCGAAAGGTTGACCATGTCTGTGTGCCTTCAATTACTTCCCCGCTGCCTACAAATACCCAGCAGCAAGACAGAGT